TGGTCATACTCCACTCTTCAGGATCTCCACAATAAGGGCACAAGACACTGACCATACCCGACACTTTGATTACAAATGGGCCTTGCCAATAATCAACATTTACGTAAAACCAATTAACAAAATACACCTGTGTGAAATTGCTTTTTCAAATGCCCTACCAAAACTGAGTATTTTAAATAGTCAACCACATGGCAAAGTCTACCTGCGGTGCTAAGGGCTTCTTATTTCTAGCAACTCAGCTGGTCTCTCAATGCCCCCTGGAGCGTGAAGGCAGAGAACATTCTGTTATGTCAACACAGGGACATGGCAACAAAATAAAAATGGGAAAGGTTAGCTTCACAAGGATTAAAGCAACACAAATAACTATAAAGTTTCATTATCTATTTCCAGTAAATTGACAAAGTCAAGTTCACAGTGGTAAACAGCCGATTCTCAGTGGAAAAGGACAAAAGATCAGTCAGACGTGTCTGGTAATACTGTAAATCAGCATAATCTTTTTTTTTTTTTTGAGACGGAGTTTTGCTCTTGTTGCCCAGGCCAGAGTGCAATGGTGTGATCTTGGCTCACCGCAACCTCTGCCTCCTGAGTTCAAGCGATTCTCCTGCCTCAGCCTCCCAAGTAGCTGGGATTACAGGCATGCACCGCCACACCCAGCTAATTTCGTATTTTTACTAGAGACAGAGTTTATCCATGTTGGTCAGGCTGATCTTGAACTCCTGACCTCAGGTGATCTGCCCACCTCGGCCTCCCAGAGTGCTGGGATTACAGGTGTGAGCCACCACTCCCAGCCCCAATCAACATAACCTTTGATGGGACATAGTCAGGCAAAATGTGACAACCATAAAATTCTGACCCAGCAATTCCACTTTTGAAAACAGCCCCAAAGAGATAGGACAAAGGTAAGAAAAGATAAATGTTTATTGCATCGCACTCTCTACTAGGAGGACCTTTAAACTAATCCTCTCAACCAAGGGATGATTTAGCAAACCACACCATGCAGGCATGCCATGGGGTTCTTTTTGGACATTCAAAAGGCTTTGCTCGTGCATGAATTTTTACATATAAAATAACTGGAAGTCAAGGGAGAACACAATGTATTCAATATATGATTTGCAATTAGCTGAAAATGTGTTTAGGGGCACACAGATCATGTCGGGAGTTCATTGAGCATGATGTAAACAATTACTACTTAAAACTCTTAGGATTATCGTTGTAAAGTCTAACACATTTTAAATTAGAAAAAAGAGGGGATGCCTAGAGCTGAGTCTCATGTGAATGCCGTGTGTGGATCAAGAATGGAGAGGGTAGATCAGGCCACTTCTCAGCCTCGGCCCTGCTGACATTTCCTGCCAGATAATTCTTTGTCGTGAGGCTGTTCTGTGCACTGTAGGATGATTTCCAGCATTGCCGGCTTCTACCCACTAGAGGCCAGTAGCACCTTCCCAGTAGTGACAATAAAAAATCTCTCCAGGCATCACCGAACATCTGAAGTTTGGAGGGTAGGGGTCAAAATCACTCTGGTTGAAAAACCACTGGTGTAAGCCACCAACTGTCCACCTTAGCAAAGGGAAGGGGACGGGAACTTAGGAGGGCTGGGGTGACCCAGTAAGCGTGTGTGCGCCCTTCAAAGAGGGCAGTCCCTATTTGGTCGGAGATCCAGAATGACATATCCTGATTTCTTTTTAATTTGCAACTAATTCAAAGTTGAAACATAGTGGCAGTCTGAGTTTCACGTCTGTGGGTTATGGCGGGTGTCCATAAACTTTTTCTGCAAAGGGACAGAGGGTAAACGTTTTAGGCTTTGTGGGAAAAACTGTTGCAACTACTCTGTCTTTGTAGGGGCAAGCTGCCATAGGGAGTAGGTCAGTGATGGGCATGGTTGTGTTTGAACTATGCTTTATTTGTGAACACTAAAATGTGAATTACATGTACTTTTCATGTCATAAAATGTTACTTGATTTTGTTTTCAACCATTTAAATAGCTCATTATGGCTTTTAGTACTTGAGCCTACAAAAACAGGGCCTGGATTTGGCCCGCAGGCCACTGCCCTGGGCAGCAGGGTACCTGCTGCAGCAGGAGTAACTAGGGGGGTGCTGGAAATGGGGACAGAATCAGACTGGGCTGGACCAGCCAGCACATGGAGCATCGCAGAGCGGCCGGAGGGGTCCATGCTGGGGGCCTCTCCTTTTTCACCTCTCCCCATCATTTGCCTTTTCCAGACCCCTACACGGTGTTTTCACACTGCTGCCTCCCAAGACACCAGAAGAAGCCTGTGGCCTTTTATTTAAGCCACAGATTGGATTCTCTGCCATTCTTTTAAAATTTTCTGCTCTTACTGTTATAGAAAGGCCACTAACCTAGCTGTCTGCATGGATCCCCAAGACCCAGAAAACTGTTTAACAGGAATTGTATCCATTTTTAATGACCTTGCCGAAACACAAGTCTTCCTGTTTGTGTCCTCACAATGTCACTGACAGTAAATAAGGAAAATACAGATGGCCTTCTCCAGCCACAGAGGCAGTCCAGCGTGCCCAGAGCTGGGACAGCTGGTGACTCGATCAAGGAGAGGAAGTCACCAGCACTCTGAACTGAGGCCTGTGTCCTGTGAATCTGCTCAGGAGAGCTAAGTGTGTGGCCCGCCACCACGTTTTGGGGACTCATAGGAAACAGCCACGATCTTCCCACCCCTCAAAGGTAATAAAAGTAACCATGGAAAATGATTGAAGGAGGCTGATGGAAGGTGAGAAAGGAAGGAAAAGAAACAAGAAAAAATAGGAAGTGTGAAAAGATGAGAGGCTCTGGCAGTAGGGAAAAATGAAGCGGAAGACAGGGGCAAGAGGAGAGAAAGGAAAGAAGAAACGAAACAGGGAAAGCGGGGCGGGGCATTTGCAAACTGTCCAGTGGAAGACGCTTCTGGCTTTGATGATGAAGGAGAAGGGACCAGAGGGCAACATCCTCATCTCTGGAACCCATTGGGACCCATTTTCTCTCCCATCCAATTCTTACATTTTAGGTTCAAGAGCCTCATCTACATCCAGGTGTGAGACAGACAAGTTTGAGAGAACTCATTCCAGACTCTCCTCTCACCCGTGTCTCACAGAATTTGAGAAAATTCCCCCAACTACAGGTGGGCAGGAGGATTGAGAGAAAGAGCAGTTGTGGGGTACCTGCACCTTCCCCCATCCTCGGGCCACGACAGGAGGCAAGGCTAGCATCTCCCTGCATGTTCACGAGTCCGGAGGTGGGGTTGCCGAAGGCCCCATCTGGAACTCTGGGGACATGGGCTTACAGTAGAGCCCACACCACAGCAGGGGCGGAGATGGGGAGGGCAGGCATCAGGGCGGCATGAGAATTGGACGCATCCCTTTCCTTTTGTTTGGTCCCTTCCTCCACTTGGGTTTGGGTGCAGGACGAAGGGACAGGGGCATTGCCGTAGAGTCCTGTTTTCCAGTGCCTTGCCTCGGGCCTCCCTCATTCCTCGACGTACCTACCAGAGGTCACTGTTCTGCAGAAAGAAATAACAAGTCCTGGGTGGGGTGGTGGGGGCGGGTGGCTGCAGTCGCTGGAGAGGTAATGAGGACGGAGCTTTGAGAGCAGCCACTCCTTCCTGTGCCCACAGCAATGAGGCAGCAATTGGCTGAGGTGAGTGGCAGGTGACCCAACAGGGACAGGTGGGGCAATAGTAAATGCACCAGGCCAGAGACAAAACCACGGCAGGACAAGTACATGACCCAGAGGACTCCACTGAGTGACCGACTCTGCTCCACAGATGCTGCACCACTCATCCTCTGCAATCGGAACCAGTCCCAGGCAGGGCAGGGGAGGGAAAAACCCCAAATGTAACTGAGTCACAAACCCAAGGCAAACTGGGCTGAGGTTACTTCGAAGTGTCAAGGTCTCGGGCTAGAAATTAATTTTAGTTTTAGGAAAATAAAGTGATGTTTTGCACATGTGAGTGGGTGGCTTGCGAAGTTCACGCCTGCGATCCTAGTACTGATTCCTCACACTCTCCTAGAAAAAATTACCATCAGCCTTCCTGGTTGGCAAAAGCTGGGTTCATTGCACCTCGGGCCACTCACCCATTGCCTCACCTGCCCTGATCTCACCAGGCTCCTAGTGACCTCCCACAAAGGTTAAGGGAGTCACAGCTGACTCTGCCACTGTAGTTACAGGAGGAGCCCAGCACCAGTCTCAGTGCTGAAGTCGGGAATCCACACTTACATGAAAGGCTCCCCTAATTGTGACCAAGCTCTGTGCTCAGCTAGAGCAAAGGAGAAGTCCTCCTGCTGGGGCTGCAAAGTTGCTAAGCATTGTATGTTCGCAGGCCCTGCCCTGCTGCTTCTGGGAAGAGACCTTTTAAGGATATGCTGAATAAGCATTCCTGGGCTCTGAGCCAGTGTGAAAGGCCAGCGTCCCTACATGACAATCACTGCAATATCTGGTGCCTTTCTGATCCCAGGCTGGGTGCTGAATAGAAAGGCAGCAGCAGCTGGGAAGCAGCCCCCCTGGAGACTGGGCACAGCTGTGCCCCACAGCGTGCATTCCCCAGGGTTCTACCCATTCCTTGATTTATTAGCAGTCAATGCACTGTAAATTTGGGGTGAGGAGTCTGGGTGTGGTGTTGCTACAGACACTTGAGATCTAGGAGGATGTGAGGAGCCTCAGGCACACCCTTAGGAAGGTCCACTCCACCTGCAGCTCCTACCGTGGGGAGATAGGAAGGCTTCAGGGCTACCTAGGAGGGGATGCCCTGAGCCCAGGCTCCCAGCAGAACACCCAAGAGCCAGCGAGACAACTGTCCTCTGGCAGCAGGGAAAGGCCTTCTGGAACTCTGAGGCATAGCCCCAGCAAAAGCTGGGACCATGACTCAATTCCTGGGAGGCCAGGTATGTCCACCTTGGGGTCCTTTGGGCTCAGAACCGGGGCCCTTCCTCCAAAGTCAATCCGTTAGGAGGCCACAGTGAGAGCTTGGTATCTGAACAAAGAAAAGTGATTGCTGTTCCTTTACAAAACTCAGGTTTATCACCGTCCCTTCTTCCCAGCACAAGGTCACATCTGTGCCAACCAAGTTCAACTGGCAGCTGAGGGGCAGGGGAAGACTTTAACCTGGGCAGGATGTGTAGGGGCCAAGAACGCGTGGCTTGCTGAGTCTTGACATCATCTCTGGCCAGAGTCATCCACACTGAGACCCCGAGGGTCTCATGGCATGGTTGCACTTAGACTTCTCTCTTGGTGTGCTACTGCAGTTTTTTAGACACAAGAAATTCCCTGGTTGTCATCGAATTTTTCAAATATGGATTTGGTGCTTCTTCCTCACACAGGTGACATGGTGCCAAACTTTGATCAGAAAAGAGAAGCTGCTCTTTCGCTTCCGGGCAGCTCCCTTCTGGCATCCTCAAACACAGGCATTGGGATTTTCTGGGAGGAGTCTCAGGTGAAACCAGGAGCTCCTCAAAACTTTTCCCTAGGGGACAGTCAGGTGTGACTAAGTAGGTCACGTACTCATTCTTTTCCCCTCCTAAATTGTTTTCCTGACTCGTTTTGGCTTTGTCTGTGGAAATGTCTTGTAGAAAAGTCCCAAAGTTCACCACCAACTTGTCAATAACCAACTTGTCACTGGGGGTGGAACATGGTTTTAAGATCCTGTTTTCTGTGTTCACAGAGTCATCAGACTCCTTCAGGTTTAGCTTAGCCTGGAAAAGAAAAAGGGACTTCCAAGTGGTCATTTAGGAGTCACATATGACATAGCCAAAAGCTCGTTAGGCTTGGGATAGCAAATGCCACCTCTGGAACAGCACCCACCTTCCTCCCAGGCCCAGAAGTGGTGGCCAACCCTCTCCACATGCCCCTCCACAGGAGCTTGGAAGGAGTGGCACATTTCCTGAGAATCAGCGCCCTGGATTTGAATGATTATATACATATATAATTATTTTTTTGAGACAGGGTCTCACTCCCATTGCCCAGGCTGGAGTGCAGTAGCACAATCACCACTCACGGCAGCCTCAACTTCCCAGCCTCAGGTAATTCTCCCACCTCAGCCTCCTGAGTAGTCGGGGCTAAAGACACACACCACCACACCTGGCTAATTTTTATTTTCTGTAGAGAGGGGGTTTTGTCACGTTGCCCAGGCTGGTCTCAAACTCCTGAGCTTAAACAATCCGCCCACCTTGGACTCCCAACGTGCTGAGATTATAGACATGAGCCACTGCCCCCAGCCAATTAAACAGTTTCTTCTAGAGTGTGTGAGGCTATTTTCCACACAATCCTGTGCTCACAAAACCCCAGTTAAGATAGAAGCACCAGCTGGGTGCAGGGACTCATGCCTACAATCCCAGCACTTTGGGAGGCTGAGGTGGATGGATTGCCTGAGATCAGGAGTTTGAGACCAGCCTTGCCAACATAGTGAAACCCCATCTCTGCTAAAAATACAAAAAATCAGCTGGGCGTGGTGGCAGGCGAATGTAATCCCAGCTACTAGGGAGGCTGAGGCAGTAGGATCGCTTTGAACCTGGGAAGTGGAGGTTGCAGCGAGTTGAGATTGCACCACCACACTCCAGCCTGGGCAGCAAGAGCAAAACTCAATCTCAAAAAGAAAAGAAAAGAAAAGAAAAAGATAGATGCACCAAAATTAGAACTCTTAGCGATGGAAAAAGCACAATCATAGAGACAGACTTGTTCAATCTCACCAAAAAATCAGAGGTGGCCTCACGGCAGGGACCATGACTTTGTCATTTGTACTCCTACAGCCTAGCTCAGTGCCTGGCATGCAGTGAGTGATTGGTAAGTGCTGGATCTAGATCTACGGATTATTCAAAAAGCACGTTAGACATCAGACAGCACTGCCTATGAGCCCAGGTACTCTCTAAATGACACTGAATACGCAGGAAAGTAAATGGCGGTATAAATCAGTCCAGTATACCAGACTGATAAGAGGAGGAAATGAAAAGAAAGCCCATTATAACAAAATGTCCATGCTCAAAAAAGCCTTCTGAGTTGGAACAAGGACTAATATTTAAAATTTGTGCATCAAGGAAAAACTGGAAACTGCCTTTCAGTAATAAGGATTTAAAGGTTATATTTGATTGGGCTTGTTTTGACATAAGCAAAAAATTAAACCTTAAAAATTTCCTAACAGTTTTTCACTTAAAAATTTATGAAAACGGAGGGTTTCTAGTTAAGGACTACTCACTAGAAAACCCCAATGCCAGCACTTTGAGAGGTCCAGGCAGGCAGATCACCTGAGGTCAGAAGTTCAAGACCAGCCTGGCCAACATGGTGAAACGCCATCTCTATAAAAATACAAAAAATTAGCCAGGCATGCTGGCAGGTGCCTGAAATCCCAGCTACTCGGGAGGCTGGGATGGAAGAATCACTTGAACCCAGGAGGTGGAGGTTGCAGTGATCCGAGATCATGCCATTATACTCCAGCCTGGGTGACAGAGGGAGACTCCATCTCAAAACAAACACACAAACACCCAATGCCAGTTAATAAAGCCTGACTCTGATGTCCCCAATCTGAGAAAAACAACCTGAGGCAGCCTCAGCCTGCCACACCCATCAACATCCTCTGGTGATCTTCAGGCCGTCTTTAGATTACTGTGCTCTTGGCTGCTTTGTAAATAGCTTCAACTCCTATAGGCAGGCCTCTTCTCTCTCTCTAATTAGCCCATCAGGTCAGGAAGGGTAGGGCCAGCGTCTTTCTTCAGCAGCATCCTTTATAGGACCAGTTCCACCTGGGAATGCACTGGGTCCTCGTGAGCCTAGTGAAGCCCTTTCCTCTTGTCAAAGCACAGGTCAAAGACGTTCCAGGAAGGCTGATTCCACCTGCCCTGCCAGCCATTCCCTGAGACTTTTCAACTCGAGTTCTTTTGATGTGAACCTCGAAAAAAGCTCAGCCTAGCACACTTCCCCATCTCCATTCACCTTGTCTACCTCCCACGACAGTAATTTCCTTAATAAAAACGAGAGTGTTTACCTTGAAATCGTCTCCACGCCAAGTGGCTATACTACTTTCAGCAGGGTTGGGAACGCTGGGCCAACACAGGTGAGCCAATTTGCTAATGAGAGAGAAGATTTTAAGATGGGAAGTGAATCTAAGAAGCATTAGCACTGTATGGCTGAGTCAAAAGAGGGAGGCTTTGCTAAAGGGAATTGTAAGTTTCCCTCCTAAATAAGGGCATGTCCGCCTGATTGATAGAACCTGGGAAAGTGGAGTTGTTTTGTGGTGTGTGCATTGCGGGGTGACATTGCCAGCTATCTATGGGATGTGCTCAGAGGAGACTCTCCCCATACAAAATGTTCCTACCTTCCCCTCTCTCCCATCCCCGCATCTCCATACCTGGTCCCGATGCTGTAAATTGCACCATCACAGTCATTCCTTTGAGGCTTATCCCCCAGGAAGAGCAACATTCTATAAGCCTTATAAGCTACTCACACTTTCCTGTAATGGTTCTCGAAGTGTGGTCCCAGACAGCAGCATCAGCATCACCTGGGAACTTGTTAGAAATGCAAATTTTGGGGCTTTACCCTAGAACCACTCAATCAGAAACTTTTGGGATGAGGCCTGATTCTGAAGCATGCTAAAGATCAGATGATTACTTAAGTGCATAATGTATAAGAATCTATGCTGGTAGCTTGGCTACTACCTACAATTGGTAACTGACACTAGCTTGACCGTAAACTAAGAGCAGCTGCTTGGCAGAGATGATCACAACTGTCTAATTTGGAGCTCAACTAGGGAAGGACCATTAGGGTGACATAAGGCTCACTGCAGAGAGAAAGCATAAGACCCTGAAGACATGCTTTCTTCTCCAAAGTGGCCAGGGCAAGCAGGACAAAGGCCCCTGCTGTCAGACCCCCAACACTGCACCACAAGCAAGCAACGAGCTTGCACCAGCAGACGACTGGCCAGCACTCCAACTCCATGGAGACACTGCTCCCTGCTCTGCCTGAGAGAGAAGCTTGCAAGAAGGCCTGCTGCAGTCAGGGGCCCCCGCTAGATACTGAGAGAAAGGGCCTGCTCTCTAACACCAGTCTCAGATGGTACATGGAGCAGACCAAGCCTGTGATGCAGCTGGCACTCTCCTGGCTTCAAAAAGGCCTAGCCCTGGGCATGGAGCTCTGGGAAGTGACAATGCTGTTGCTTGGTCAGAATTCTGATGAGCCACTGAGTGTGGGCTTTAATAACCTCAATAAATATGTACCAGGTTAATAAATGAATGAACACCCCTTGATGGCAGAGTGCCCTCTCCTACGAAGCATCTATGATGCCTTCCGCCTCTTTTTGTCCCTGATTTTTCGGGCACCCACTGTTGTCTACAGACTTACTTGGGTTTTTTGAGACCATATGCCGCTGTCAGGATGATGAGAAGAAGAAGGCCTCCAGCAATCAGAGTCGTTATAAGGATAATCTCAAAGACACCTTTGAAAAAGAAAGAACAAAATTCAGTAGTAAGCTGAGTTCCTCACGTCCTGGACAAAACTCAGTGGTTAACTTTTTGCTCTAGTAGCGTCAGCAACACAATTTCTTATTAGTTTTATTTCGATTAAATTCAATTTCTTTCCACTAAAAAAAACCCCAGAGTTTTGTGGCTCCCCATCTAGGCATCTTCTCCTGGCAGCATTCATTCCAACAGCGTTCCTTCAGTGAATATTTGTTGAGCATTTCTTAATTTTATTTTTTTGAGATGGGCGTTGCTCTGTCACCAGGCTGGAGTACACTGGCATGATCTTAGCTCACTGAAGCCTCAAACTCCTGGGGCTCAAGCGACCTCCTGTCTCAGCCTCCTAAGTAGCTGGGACTTACAGGTGCAAGACATCGTGGCCAGCTAATTTTTAGATTTTTTTTTTTTTTTTTTTTTTTTTTTTGAGATGGAATCTTGCTCTGTCACCCAGGCTGGAGTGCAGTGGCACATCTTGGCTCACTGCAACCTCCATCTCCTGGGTTCAAGCGATTCTCCTGCCCTAGCCTCCTGGGTAGCTGGGATCACCGGCACCCACCATCAAGCCCGGCTAATTTTTATATTTTTAGTAGAGATGGGGTTTCACCATGTTAGCCAGGCTGGTCTCAAACTCCTGGCCTTGAGTGATCTTCCTGCCTTGGCCTCCAAAAGTGCCGGGATTACAGGCATGAACCACTGCATCCAGAGAGCAACTTTAGCTAAGGTGTCCAAAGAAAGAGTGAAATTCAAGTTGATCTTAATAGTGAGAGGCTCCAGCCATGCAAAACCATGGAGAAAAGCACTCCAGGCAGAAGAAACAGTGGATGCAAAAGCTTTGAAGCAAAAACAAGGTAGGGAAGATAAACAGAGGCAAAAAGAAAGCAGTAGGAAATGAGGTCAGTAAGGGACAGATGATGAATGATCTTGAAAGTTATAGGAAGGAGTTTGGATTTTCTTTACAACACAATAAAAGTCACCGGTGGGTTTTAAACAGAGAATTCAGGGTTTGAAACTCTGGCTGCTGTGTGGAGAATGGATTATAGAGGATCAAAGATAGAAGCAGGGTGATTTATAATCTTTAGACCAGGGTAGGAAATGTCTAGGTCCCAGGGCTGGATCTTGCCTTCATTTAACCCTTGGAGAAAACTCCATGAGCCGATGAACTCTGTGCCCAGTGTTGCAAAAATTCAATATGGCTTTAAAAGATTGTAAACAGCAATATCAAAAAGAGTTCCTAAAAGGCAATGTTAGCCCATCAAAACAGAATGTTTTCTCTGTTAAAAAAAAAAAAAAAAATGTCGTACTCACATTTTCCAGAGTCATAAAGCAATTTTATTCTTGAAAAATGTGATGAATAAGAGGCTTTCAAGAATATTTCAAGCAGACAATTTTTAGCTTGTTCCAGTTATTGCAAAATCTTGGCAGTGTTCCTTCATTTTTAATCTAAAAAGTTATTCATTCTTTAAGAGAGTTGTAGTATGTACTTAAAAATCAAATCTCTATCACTCAAGGACTTGGCAAAATTAACATTTCTGTTTCTCCCATTCTCCTTCCTTCTTTCTGCTTCACCTCCTCATTCCATCTGCCTGCCTCTGAAATATCTTCCTTCACCAGCCATCATATGAAGCTACATTTTATTTTACATTATTTGTTGTCTCTAGCAAATTTTTCTTGTTATTTTTTAAAGTAAAAGCAGGTAAGTTAAACATATCTTTTTGCTCAAAAAAGCCTCCATAAATGACGAGGTTAAGCCCCTCCCTGGGGGGTCAGTGGTCCTGGGTTAACCAAGGTTTTTCCTTGAAGGCCCTGTTGTACAGTGATATGGTCTGACTGTGTCCCCACTCAAATATGATCTGAATTGTAACTCCCATAATTCCCATGTGTTACAGGAGGCACCCAATGGGAGAGAATTGAATAATGGGGTAGTTTCCCCCATACTGTTCTCATGGTAGTGAATAAATCACACAAGATCTGATGGTTTCATAAGGGGAAACCCCTTTCACTTGGTCCTCATTCTCTCCTGCTGCCACCATGTAAGACGTGCCTTTTGCCTTCCAACCATGATTGTGAGGCTTCCCCAGCCATGTGGAACTATGGAACTCTTTTTCTGTATAAATTACCCAGTCTTGGGTATGTGTTTATCAGCAGCGTGAAAACAGACTAATACGTGACTGTGAATGGGGAGGCAGACTGAGACGGGAGCTGGTTTGGTGCTAAGACTCAAATTGGCATTAATTTGACATCTCCTCCTCCAGATGATTTGTGGCTGCCCATGAGGAAGGATCAAAATGACCAGCATTTCCAAATTCAGCTCTCAACTTGCCTGCTCTCTCCCTCCTATCTCCTCATGTATATGCTTTCTAGGAAGGTTGGTGAGACAGAGAGCAGGGTGGCTCTTTCCACGTAGGCACTGCCCTTTCATTTGGCTTTCCCAGCCTTTGGCAGATGTCATTTCTCTCTGACATAAGGTAAACATAGGGAGAGGTACCTAAGGCTTGAAGGAAATACTCACTGAATGACAATGTCTTGAAATTTATGCTGGTCCCGTTGGTTCCCCCAGCACTGGTGCTGGCCATGACCTGAACGGTGTAAGAGGTCTTTCGTTGCAGGGCCTCCAGGCTGTACTGCAAGATGCTGGAGTTGACTGTCTTGGCTAAAGGAGAAATACAGAGGTCAAACACCATGGCCAAGCCGAACTGAAAATTGTGTCCCGGGAGCATCACAATAAGAGGATTGGAACCGTGCTTCCAAGCTCAGCTGTCTCATATTCTGACCCCTGTTCATGTCCTGCTTAAAATTAGTCTATCAAGATGGATCGAGGACCTCAGTATAAGAGCTAGAACTATAAAAACTCTTAGAAGACAGCACAGGATAAATCTTCACAACATTAAACTTCACAATGGTTTCTTAGATATGATGCCAAAAGCACAGGTAGCAAAAGGAAACAGATTAAGCTGGATTTCACTGAAATTCAAAGTTTTTGTGCATCGAAAGATAATATCAAAAGAATGAAAAGACAACTCATAGAACGCGTGAAAATATTTACAAATCGTATATCTGATAAATAACTGATATCTAGAATATATAAAGAACTCATAAACTCAATAACAAAAAGACAAACAACACAATTTAAACATAAGAAAATGAGATTAAAAAGACACGCCTCCAAAGAAGATATGCAAATGGGCAAAAACTACAGGAAAAGATGTCCAACATTATTAGTCAGTAGGGAAATGCAAGCCTATGAGATAACCACTATGTACCCACCAGGACAGCCATAATTTTCTTTTAATGAAAAATAACAAGTGTTGACAAGGATGCAGAGAAATGAAAACCCTCATATATTGCTGGTAAGAATGTAATTCCAGCACTTTGGGAGGCTGAGGTGGGCAGATCACAACGTCAGGTGTTCAAGACCAGCCTGGCCAATATGGTGAAACCCCATCTTTACTAAAAATACAAAAATTAGCCAGGCATGGTGGGGGACGCCTGTAGTCCCAGCTTCTTGGGAGACTGAAGCAGGAGAATTGCTTGAACCCAGGAGGCAGAGGTTGCAGTGAGCTCAGATTGCACCACTGCATTCCAGCCTGAGTGACAGATGAGACTCCATCTCAAAAAAGAAAGAAAAAAAAGAGTGTATACTGGAGCAGTGGCTGTGGAAAACAGTTCGGTGGCTCCTCAGTAAGTTAAACTAGAGTTACCATATGATCCAGCAATTCAATTTCTAGGTATATACCCAAAAGAACAAAAAGCACAAACTCAAAACAGATATTTGTACCTAGCAGCATATGTTCATAGCAGACATCTGTTCATAGTAGCCCTATTCACAGTAGCTTAAAGGTTGAAACAACCTAAATGTTCATCAGCTGATGAATGGATAAGCAAAATGTGGAATATCCACACAATGGAATATTATTCAGCCATAAAAAGGAATAAGTACTAAACCATGCTATAACATGGATGAACTTTGAAAACATGCTACATCAAAGAAGCCAGACACAAAGGTCACATATTTTATGATTCTATTTATATGAAATATCCAGAATAGGCAATCCATAGAGACACAAAACAGTTTGGTGGTTGGCAGGGGCTGTGGGAAGAGAGGAATGGGGAGGGACTAATTAATGGGTGTGGGGCTTCTATTCTGGTGGGAATGGAAGAGCTCTGGAAGTAGCCGTGATGGTTGCACAACATTGTGAATGCTCCTAATGCCACTAAATTGTACACTTTCAAATGTTTAAAATGGAAAAATATTTTACATGTATTTTACCATAAGAAAAAAATTATTTAGCCTAAGCAAGAATCCAAGCCTTGCCCAGTGTTTAAGATGTCAGGAGATCCGGTGGACTGAAGAAAAACCCGATTTGGCAGGGGCTGTAGAAGTCATGGTAACAGGGTCTATTCCCCTCACTCTTTAAGCCAGGCACACCATTCCTGGGAATAATGATCAGGGAGCTCCCGGGAGGTCAATTCAGGCCTCAGCCAGGACAAATTATATCAGTTCCTTCCATTCCCACTGGACTATCCTCTCAGGACTGTCCCTTCACTCTCATTTAACCCACAAAGCCCCAGAAGTTGGGTGTTCTTGTCCCCATTTTCAGAGAGACTTGAAGAAGCTAAGTGACTCATGCCAGATTGCAGGTCACAACGAGGTGGGGGAGTCATGCCTACGACAGGTCTATCCCTAGCATCTGTCTGGGGCTTGGGGTTATTTTCCCACTTGGCTATGGGCGCGCTTACAGAATCCTTTTCCTCCTTCAGCTTGGTAAAAGATGGTGTAGTTGCAGATGATACCCTTTCTCTGTCTCTTGGGAATCTCCTTCCACATGATTGTGACAGTCTTCACGCCAATGTTCTCCACCTTGGTCTCAGGACCTTCTGATGGAACTGGAAGGGACAGGGAGATAAATGATAATCATTGAACCACACCCCAACAGATCGTTCCCCCACAAAGGCTCTGGCCAGTACTCAGACCAAACCACAGTGCTGGAGGCAGGAGGCGTGGGTTGAGTAGGGAACTGACGAATGAACTTGTCTGGGAAAATTGTTTTCTAGAGCCATCTCTCTTAAGCAAGAAGAGAAGTGGCATCAAGGCCACTTGAAAAATTCCTTTCTTACAGATGTCTCACTCTAATTCAGTACCCAGCTTTTCCATTCATATCTGTAAAGTGTAGTTATTGTCAAATAGTTGAAGAATATGCCTCCATAGGCTACCTTTGAGTGGCAGAAGTTATTTTCCAATGTTGAATCTGGAAGACGTGAACTTCCAAAAAGATCAAAGTAAAGTTTGAGCAATTCACCAGTAAAGCCCTTGCTCATTGCTACATAATTAAAAATAATTTAACATCCCTAAGTTAGCATGAACTCTGTAGGCTCCCTGATGCGGTCTTAATTCAATGTTATTGCTGGTAGCAGCTCTATTTGCACTGTTTATTTGTGACTTTGGTCAAGTTATTTCACCTCTCTGAGCTTTAATTTTCAATCTGTGAAATGAGAAGATTGGACTCGATGATCCCTAATGTCTACCCCAGCTTCAGAATTCAGCGGATTCAGAGCATACAGAGTTCACTACAAGACGAAGCGAAATTTGAGCCCTAAGACGGCTGGGAATGAGCTGCAGGCATTTGCAGCCTTTTCCACAGGTTGTACAGGTCCTACCATTTCCTTTTCCCCACAGGGCCTTGTCCATACATACCGCCTTCTTTGGCATAAGCCTGGATGGAATATGGCTCGCCAACCTTGTCGTGCAACATTGGATACACAGAGATGTTATAGCACCAGAAAGGTTTTAATTTATCTGTAAAAAAGAAAGAAAAAAGAAACAAGCATAAGTGCAGAGCGCGGCAGAGTGGAAGGAATACTAGACTAAGAGTTATGGCCAAACACTTATGGAAGATATTCCATTTCTCTACAGCTTCCACCTCTGGGAAATAAATAGGTTAGGGTGAATGGTCTCTCATATCTATTGCTTTTCTCAGATTTTCTAATTAATTCTTATTTTTAATTTTAATTTTTAAATTTAGCCTTTTAGCTTCTTCTTTTTTGGAGGCAGGGAATCCTCAGGTTTGTTCTGTCCAAACACTTTTGCAGCCAGAGGGATCCACAGGACCGCTGAATACGCTGCCTAATTAAGTCCTAGAACTTAGAGCCATCCAGAAGCAAAGAAGTAAGAGATCCAATCCCTCCTCTGTCACTGATTTTATCATATAATTTGGGGCACAGCAGAATAAAACTTAATCCTTCAAGTCAACAATCTATCATCACCCTGTGGATCTCAAACACCACGAATTCTATCTCCTCTACTTGCCTGCATCCCTGCATGTGTATTAATCTTAATATGGATGCTTGAAGCATTAAGAAATGATTGTAGTGACAGGATTAAAAGGGTAAAGCCTCATTAGGGAGGCTGAGGCAGGAGGATCGCTTGAGCCCAGAAATTTGAGGTTACAGTGAGCTATGATCATGCCACTGCACTCCATCCTTGGCAAGCAGGCAAAACCCTGTCTCTAGAAAATAAAAAGTTTTTTAAAAAACTAAAAATAATGAATAAAGCAGACTGGGTGCAGTGGCTCATGCCTGTAATCCCAGCACTTTGGGAGGCCAAGGCGGATGGATCACAAGGTCAGGAGATCGAGACCATCCTGGTCAACATGGTGAAACTCCATCTCTACTAAAACACAGAAAACTAGCTGGGTGTGGTGGCTAGCGCCTGTAGTCCCAGCTACTCAGGAGGCTGAGGCAGGGAAATCCCTTGGACCCGGGAGGTGAAGGTTGCAGTGAGCTGAGATCAGGCCACTGCACTGCAGCCTGGTGACAGAGTGAGACTCCGTCTCAAAAAAAAAAAAAAAAAAAAGAATAAAGCCTCACTCATGTATCTTACATAGGGCAGGGTCTTTCTGAAAAGAAGGCTATTCCTATAACAATCACCTGGGAAAGGGGCCTGGCCCTTAAACAGGCAACCAGAACTCAAGAAAGTATCCTAGGTGTGACAGCTGGGATCCACACTCTGGTGTTACCCATGAGATGACCCAGCTATCCAGGAAGGGCTCTCTGATGGTGGGTGTTAAGACAGTGTTTCCACCTGGAGGCTGGCCAGATACCTGGTCTACTTAACACCCCCAGTTTTCTGTGCCAGCCTTGACTTGGAAATGCCAAGAAGTGTGTCACTTCATTAAGCTTGCACAAGCTTGTCAAATGCTATTAACCACACTAACATCTTTGAAGCCAAAGTTAAGGATTTAAAATGGATGAAAAACCAAACCCCGCACAGAGGGAACCTGTGGGTTGCACCGGGGCTACCTTGATGGATCGTCCAGTTCTTGGCCTGAGACACAGGTTCCCAGGAAAGGGTGGGGGGCTCTGAGTCCATGTCCGGAAACCATTCAACCATCCAAGTGTTCACGTCTAGAGCACAGCTTTGCCACTTCACCACTAGCCGGTCCTCAGCAAGGCAGGCCTGCATGACCTCAATGCACCGAAATGCTGAAAAAAGAGAAAAGGACCACTTCACAGCTACCCACCTCATTCCCCAAATGCAACCACCACACTGGCATCTACTCACTGCCTCAGCTGTAGAACAAGCCCAAAGTTCAGGATCTCCACTGCAGCCTCCCCAGATGGTGCTTTTTACCCGTTATTGCATCCCTTTTCCTTACACAACACCTTTGAGGATTAAGTGGCTTCTTTGTTTTTTTTGAGATGGAGTTTCGCTTTTGTTGCCCAGGCTGGAGTGCAATGGTACGATCTTGGCTCACCGCAACCTCTGCCTCCAGGGTTCCAGCGATTCTCCTGCCTCAGCCTCCTGAGTAGCTGGGATCACAGGCATGTGCCACCACCCCCAGCTAATTTTGTATTTTTAGTAGAGACGGGGTTTCACTATGTTGGTCAGGCTATTATGTGGCTTCTTAATCTTCCTTTACCTACCCCAAATTGACCTATTTCCAGAAAAAGATCTCACTAGAGAGTTGATGACTAAAAAGACTTACCTTCCACAAGTGTCTCTGCAAGTCAAAAGGAAAGGAAACCTGAGACAAAGAATCTCCAAAGGTAGAATTTCAGGCTCTGGGAATTGTGTGGCTAGGAAGCTGGGAGATGGCGACCATAAAATCATACCAGGGAGATGGGTTCACACTTTCACTCTATATTCTGTCTGTACACAAACTGGATATGAATTCCTATCCTTAAGACAGCAAGTATTGCATTTGTACCAGAAAGACAAAGATGCCACAATCCAAAGTACCTAGTAAGAATTAATACATAAGTGGCAATATTTTCTGCGGGACTGGCCAAAAATTTATCTCTGGAAACAGACCAAAAGGATTTATTTAATAGGAAAGTTGAGTGTACGGCTTCTAATAAAACATCTGGAACTTAATCAGAATCTGAGAGATATCTTATTGAAAATGTTTGAACACACAGAAGAGAAAAGAACTCCCAGAGGTGCGGTGAGGCAGAGGTGGAAGGTACAAATTGGGCGGGGCTCAGAAATTCCAGGGTGTGCTCTCCCCTCACCCACTCCTCACCAGCGTAGCACACCTCAGCCTGCAAAACTGGAATCCATGGGAAGTGTTTCTTTTCCTTTTTTTTTTGAAGCAGGTCTTGCCCTGTCGCCCAGGCTTGAGTGCAGTGGCATCATCTTGGCTCTCTGCAACCTCCACCTCCTGGGTTCAAGTAATCCTTGTGCCTCAGCCTCCTGAGTGTCTGGGACTATAGGCACACACTATATACCCAGCTAATTTTTTGTATTTTTAGTAGAGATGGGGTTTCACCATGTTGGCCAGGCTGTTCTCAAACTCCTGACCTCAGGTGATCTGCCTACCTCAGTTGGTCTCCCAAAGTGCTAGGATTACAGGTGTGAGCCACCATACCCAGCCAGGAAGAGTGTTTCAGTGAATGCCAAAGATGATCCTGGATGTGGGCATAAAAGTGTCCTGCAAAAAACCCCAAAAAGCCTTTTGAAGCTGGAACCCTAGGCCACCTGTAGGAATTTGGGGTGGGGACTGGAGTCCTGCACGCTGCTGTTCTGAGGCAACAAGCCCCAGCAGGCTGTGTGTATATTTAGGAGTCTGGTTCTTGTAATCCACAGTTGACAGATCCTTTTCCCAAACAGCGCCCATATCAGACACTCCAGGGGCTAGTCCTAGCAGCAAGGCCAGGTCATCTGTCAACCTGAAAAGGTAACTCTGAGAAGGACAACTGAGACATGGAGAAAATGTGAAGCCACAGAAGGTGCTGGAGCTGGGGCAAGAAGCACAGAGCCTGGAGATCGACCCTGCCTAACCCTAGGGCTCTGACTTTCTCCTCCGACCTTCCCCTGCTCACCACCTGGAAGCATCCCCAGTCAGTTCTGGCTGAAAGTCCCTGCTGGAGCCTTGGAGACCTAATGAGACTCTTCTAGCAGCCAGTGTTGGTGCTCCACTCAGACCCTCTCAGCTTCCTTTTTACTGTGTGTGTGTATTTTGCTTGGCTTGGATGACTATGAGATATCACTTACACTCTAGAGTCCCCTACAAGATCCAGTGGGAACCCTCTTCCCTGGGGTTTTTATCTCCGATTGTGCCTGTTATGGGTTGAATTGTATCCCCCCATTGTATATTCTCAGTGTCACAGAATGAGACATTTGGAAATAGGCCATTGCAGATGTAATTAGTTAAGACAGTGGGCCCTCTATAAGAAAAGAAGAATCTGGGCATGGAAGCAGAGACACACAAGAAGCTAGCCATGTGAAGACTGAAGCAGATACTGGATTTGTGGGAGTTACTGGAGCTGCCACAAGCCAAGGAATACCTGGTGCCACTCCAGGCTGGAAGGGGTAAGGAAGGATTCTCCCCTAGAGACTTTAGGGACCATGGCTAGCCAGCACCTCGATTTGGGACTTCTGGACTCCAGGACCATGAGACAATAATGTTTGAAGCCCCCCAGTCTGCAGTGCTTTCTTTCGGCAGCCCTGAAAGCGCACCTTGGCCTCGGCCTCTGCCCCTTCCTGGCCAGTTTCCACAGCTTCCTTTTCTCATCTCCCTGAAGGTGCTTTTTAAAAAAAAGACTTGCCCACAAATCCTGGCTTGAAGAAGCCAGTGCTGGTGTCTAACCCCACTCCTTCGCACCAACACTGGAGCTCTGAGGAGCAGGGGAGCCAAGTCTAAAGCGCCAGGTGCACTGCAGAGACTAAGGAGACCAAGGGGCGTGGCACTGGCTACAGGAAGCCATGCGTCAACCTTGAAAGGGGAAAGCCTGACCATGCCAAGGGGTGCCAGAAGGGGTGTTTCCAAGTCATCACTCTGCTCAATATAAACAAATCGCCAGGTCCTTCCATCATTCAACAAGAGCTTTCTGAGCAATGACTCCAAACATTGCCAGGTGTGGTAGGAGACAGAGATCCTTCCTTGGAGAAGCGGGAAGGGGTTTTGACCGTGAAAGCCACTGATTTCTTGTGATCTGTATGAAGACATTCACCTGGGGCGCTCATGTGCTGGTGCTGCTTCCCCTTTGCCAACTGTCCCAGCCCATCCTGAGTTCTGCCCCAACTCGGGCCCATCTTCCTCCTCTGGCCTCATGACACAGCAGCCAGGACCATGCCTGCCTCAGACCACGCCGCTGCTGCCTGCTGGCTCAGGTCTCACAAAACCCAGGGCATGCTGAGCAGAAGGAACCTGCTTCTAAGCCCTTATTCCAAAAGGGAAATGTGGGAGCCCCCCAAAGGTCAATAACCAGCTCAGTGTCACGCAGCATCTGTGACCGGAATTCAAGGCACTTTATGAATAGGTTGTGGGATATGGTACGAGTTGGGAATCCTGCAAATCCGAGCTGGAATCATCCCACTCCAGAGACCTCAGGGACATTACTAAGCTTGGCTGAATCCCTTTGCCATCTATAAAATCTCACAGCATCTACATCATGAGTTATGCCAAGGCTGAAATGGGAAAGCCTATGTTCTCTTAGCACAATTCCTGACACATACTAATGGACAATGTATGATAACTATACTTACTTAATGATAGTTATACTTACAGAAATTATCTTATTATTATCTAGTTAGTAGTATTCTCATTCTCCAGTTGCCTCCACTTTATTAAGCAAATTTCTATACAATATTATTTTCTTTTGTTTGTTTGATTTTGGGACAGGGTCTTGCTTTCTTGCCCAGGCTGGAGTGCAGTGGTACAATCTTGGCTCACTGCAACCTCAACCTCCCTGGCTCAAGCGATTCTCCCACCTCAGCCTCTTAAGTAGCTGGGACCACAGGCACATGCCACCATGCCTGGCTAATTTTTATATTATTATTTTTTTTTTTTGCAGAGACAAGGTTTCACCATGTTGCCCTGACTGGTCTCGAACTCTTGAACTCAGCAATCCACCCGCCTTGGCCTTCCAAAGTGCTGGGATTACAGGTGTGAGCCACCATGCACATCCAGGAAATTACTTTCTTATATGTCTGGGACCAGTGTCTGTAAAGTTTCTCTGTAAAGAGCCAGATAGCAAATATTTTAGGTTTTAGGTTTTGTAGGCTAGATTGTCTCTGTCACAACTATTCAACTTAGCCACTATGGCACAAAAGGAGCCATAAACAATATGTGAGCAAGTAGGTGTGGCTGTGTTATTGTGAAACTTCACTTACAATAACCAGTGTCCATCCAGAGTTAACTGCAAGCTTCAGTGTATCAATACCTGCTCTAAGACCATTATAACTGATGATCACACAGATATATCTGACACAAAGCCATAAAAATACTAAGTGAATCTGGCATAACTTTAGTTAAATTGTATTTTATAATATTTTTAAAGTTGGTAATCTGTGTCTAACAGAAATTTGATCAATCAGAAATGTTATTAAGAATGACAATTGGCTGGGCACAGTAGCTCACACCTGTAATCCCAGCACTTTGGGAGGCTGAGGCAGGTGGATCACCTGAGGTCGGGAGTTCGAGGCCAGCCTGACCAACATGGAGAAACCCTGTTTCTACTAAAAATACAAAATTAGCTGGGCATGGTGGCGTGCACCTGTAATCCAAGCTACTGGGGAGGCTGAGGCAGGAGAATTGCTTGAACCCAGGAGGTGGAGGTTGTGGTAAACTGTGAAAGCACCATTGCACACCAGCCTGGTCAACAAGAGCAAAACTGGATCTCAAAAAAAAAAAAAAAAGAATGACAGTAGTAATAATTAGCACCAGACAAAGCATTTTACATACACAGTCTCATTTAATCTTCACCACAGCTCTGTGAAGTAGGTATTATTATATAATAGCTAAATTTTACGAGTAGCTAAGTTTCAGAGAGGTTAGGTGACCTGCCCAAGGTTAATGGTATCTTGTGGAAGTGCAAAGATTTGAACCCAGAGCTGCTGGACTCCAAAGCCTATGCTTTTATACCCTATTCTTTACCTCCTCCCACCCTGGGGTCACCATGGGAAACTGAGGTTACTATTCAACAGCACCTCTATTAACGAAAAACGTGTGCTCCAATCACATGTGCATTTGTCAGGAACCTCAGTGAGGGTGCTGGACAGGCGGGAACTAGGATGTCAGGGAATGAGGACTAAGGGAGTACTATTAAATGCTAACTAAAATATCAAATGTAGCTTAAAACACAAATGTAGGAATATCTAGGAATTATAAAATGAGGGTTTAGGAGAATAGACAGAAGGGGGCACAGGCAGAGAATTCCGGAACTGGTTGTGTAAATGTCTGAACCAGTCTAGGTGTAGGCAAATAGAGACAGGTGGGGAATTGGAGAGAACATTCCTAACTATGATGTGTTTCCACAAATAATTATGCACACCTGCTCTATGCCAACGGCCCTATGCTATTTTAAGTGTTGGAAATTAGGTTTAAAAAAATAGGCAGGAAAAATAGACAAAAATCCCTGTCCTCATGGCACTTACGTCCTATTGAGGAAGAAAAAGGTAGTAAAACAAATAAGATAATTTATAGAATGAGGAATAGTACTAAGTTTGAAAGAGAAAAATAAGGCAGAAAAGAGAAAATCTATTGTCTGCAACTCTTTGAATGAGAAATTTTTAATTTCAAAACAGGATATAAAATATGAGTTTGACTGGGAGCAGTAATATGTTAAAAACTACTTGACCGAAAGTGTAATGCACTATTGATTAGCAAGTATAAACACTAGAATTTTTCCTTAGTAACAATGGAAGGGGAAAAGGAAGAAAACAGGAAAGCAAGCATTAAACCAAGGATGAGGATGTAGTGAATACCCATTTGTAGGGAGAAGAGTTCAAGAGCCGCTTCGGTCATGGAGGACAAATGTGACAAATAGGACAGTTTTATAGGACTCGACCCTGCTTACATTTACTCAGACCAGAACAAATCAAAGCTGCATGCAGAACTTCTGGGTGTATGGCTTTGTATTCTGTAATTTATAAAGTCTCTGATTTTTAACACAGGCTTTGTTCCAAAGGAACCTGACTTCAAGGGGTTCATTAATTACTAGCAAATTTTCATTGCTTCTCCACAACCTAAAAAATCCCCACTCCATTTTCATTTTGACTCAAGAGAAAGAGTCATCCTTGAGAGCACAGGGACTGCTCCCTGGCCAGTGGATGGGAACAGGCACCTAAGGAAGAAGCTGATGCTCTACTTACACTTTTCCTGAATAGCTGGAATCCTCAGGGTGGCCACTGGAGATTTTCCAAGGGAATTATAAGAAATCATAGACACCCAATAGCTCTCGCCTCCCAGATGCAGTTCCAGCGGCTGGTTAGTGGTGTTTATTGTTTCTGTGAGGTTAGTGTTGTTTTCCGGAAAGTACCATATGTTGTAGCCAAGTGTTTTCTCTAGGACTGGGGCTCCTCTTGGCTTCTGAACCCAAAGAAAACAAAATTCATTGCCAATTACAAAGAAAAAGAAAGGCATTGAGACAGTGAGAAGCGGTGGGTGTGAGGGGTATGGAATAAGGTTAACTGTTAGATACTAAACTACGATCAGTTAATCACCCTCCAGGGGTAAATAATACATCCTGGGCTGTGATAATAACTCTTCAAGTGCCAGAAAAGGGATTTAATAAATTTAGTCCAAATCCATGAGGCTAAACTAGGAGAATGCCCAAGCCAATGTAAACAAGTCACGCTTCTTTACTTCCGCCCGCTTGTATCTTTCACTCCATCCCACTCATGTAGAGGAGTAAGGGCTAGAAAGCTGACACATTCCCTCTGAGCCCATCCGAAGTCTGGTTCTGGCCCTGGGTCATCTCCTACCTGGAGTATCCAAGGCTTGGAGAATACTCTATGCCCTAGTCTTTTATTTCCATGCCTCTCCCTCTGAGAAGGGAGCCAGCTTCCCTGGACCAGGCACCCCAACCAGGCATCTTAGCTAGGACTAAAACATTCAGGGCTGCACTACCAGTCCCAAACTCTTGGCGAGATGAGAAGTTTAAGGGAACCCTGGGAACTTTAAGCCAAACTCTTATTTTCAGCCTTGAACTTGGGCCCACTAACCAGATGTTTGCCTAGGAGGGAGCATGCTGAATATTTCCCAAAATTTATAGGGTTTCCCATTTGTTTCCTGTTAGTGATTATGCACACCGATAGAGCAGAATGCTTGAACTAAGTCCAGATGGGACTTTAGCAGGCACCTCATCCCACTGCCTTCCCCGTTCAGGAATTTCCTTTACACTCACCTTGGCATAAAAGGTTAGCTAGAATCCTCCTAATGACCAGGAGCCTTTTATCTCTCAAGACGGCCCATTTCCTTTTTATTTTAATTTAATTTATTTATTTATTCATTTTGAGACAGGGTCTCATTTTGTTGCCCAGGCTGGAATGCAATGGCACGATCTCAGCTCACTGCAATCTCTGCCTCCTGGGTTCCAGCAATTCTCTTGCCTCAGCCTCCCAAGTAGCTGGGACTACAGGTGCACACCACCACGCCCAGCTAATTTTTGTATTTTTAGTACAGAGAGGATTTCACGATGTTGCCAAAGCTGGTCTCGAACTCCTGACCTCAAGTGACTGCCTGCCTTGGCCTCCCAAAGTGCTGGTATTACAGGTATGAGCCACTGCACCTGGCCCCGTTTTCTTTTTTAAATAATAGCTTTATTGAGATACAACTCACATTTCATAAAATTCAGTTTTAATATGAGTTCAACGGCTTTGATTAATAGTATGTTCAGTCATGCAACTATCACCATTATTTAATTTCAGAGCATTTTAGTACATTCGTTTTTAACCACCTCAAATTCTTAAGAAAGCTCTCCCTTCTTGAGGGGGCAGGGGGTGGGGAAAGACCAGCCCCACGAGGCGAGGGGAGGAGGCAGGCACTGAGATCCATCTTCTCTACTTCACAAGCTGCCCTACTTGGCCCTTTGCCACTGCTATGTAGCTAAGACCACAGGTGGCCGTGTACGGTTGTTGGCTTTCCTCCCCCAAAACTGTGTTGGCAGTCATTTGTTTTCATACTTGATGGCTGAGAAAGACAGCACAGCGTCTGGGATTGATTCTCTAAGATGATCTTTGGCTGTTTTCCCATGCAGGGGATCCTCCACTACCCAGGGAGTCCCATAGCCCTGCAGCTGCGGAAGGCGTGGGCGATGGTGCAGGAGCCTCCAGCCCTGAGGCAACTGGAATGTCATTTGGCAAAGCAGGACACTTGCTCATTTTCAACAGGATTTTGAACTTGCCTGGACTTCAGCAAATGTGAGCTAACACGATGAGATTTTCCTGAGAATTCTAGAGGCACATGAAGGAGTTCTGGCATCTCACTCCTCTCCTCCCTTTCTTCTTTCCCGTCTTTCTGCTCTTTCTCCATCTGCCCTTTTCCTTTCCCGTTTGTTCTCTAATCCCCCCATTTTCTACTCCTTCTCCCGATTCCTTCTCTCAGATCCTCTTCCCTCCTCCTCTTCTCTGCATTCTCCTGTTCCTCACTCCCAGGCCTCTGCCCTAGAAAGGACCACGTGGTCCCTCTTCTGTTTTTGTGCCCCAACACACATGTGCCATCTATGTTGCCAGTGATGTGAGGGCACACCAGCAAGCTGAGCCTGGTCAGAGCGCTTCTTAGGCAGTTGGGTGGGGAGGGGTTCCAGGGACTTATGCTGCCTTCTAGCAGAGGCTGGTCCGTGATGTTTCCTCCAGAAGGTCATAGTGCCTCCTGGACTTGCACTTTCTACCTGCCCCAGATGTTAATATTTCAGGCCAAAGAAGAGGGGGTCAGGGTCTGTAAAGCATGATGGGGCCATCTGCAAGATGACCTATAGGCCTTTTTTGAGCTGGCCAACCAGTATGAGATTTGAGGCAACATAAAGCCCTCTAGGGAAGGAAATTCTGGAGGTAAAATTTCAAGAATCACAGTTTTTGGAAGAGTAAGAGACCATGGGCTTTTAAACAGGATAAACAGGCCAGGCATGGTGGCTCATGCTTATAATCCTAATGCTTTGGGAGGCTAAGGTGGATCTCTTAAGCCCAGGAGTTTGAGACCAGCCTGGGCAACATAGCAGGACCCAGTCTCTACCAAAAAAAAAAAAAAATTTTTTTTTTTTTTAATTAGCTTTGTGTAGTCGCACACTTCTGTAGACCCAGCTACTTGGGAAGCTGAGGTGGGAGGATCACTTGAGCCCAGGAGTTAAAGGCTGCAGTGAGCTATGATTTCACTACTGTACTCTAACGTGGAGTACAGTGTTGAAAGTCTCTGGACCTTTCAGCGTTAAGTCTCTGGAACCCCCCTCCCCACCCAACTGTCTAAGAAAAGCTCTGACCAGGCTCAGCTTGCTGGTGTGTCCTTGGGTCATTGGCAACATAGATGGCACATGTGTGTTGTAGTGGGGCACAAAAGCAGAAGAGGGACAACATGGTCCTTTCTAGGGCAGAGGCCTGGGAGTGAGGAACAGGAGAAGGCAGAGAAGAGGAGCCGGGAGGAGGAAGAAAACCCTGTCAAAAAGAAAGAAAGAGAGGCAGGAGGGTAGGGGGAGGAGGAAGAGGAAGACAGAGAGGGAGAGGAGGGGAGAGGAGGGAAGCGGGAAGGGAAGGAAGGAAAGGAAGGGAAGGAAGAGGAAGAAAGAGAGAGAAAAAGAACCCAGAGGGAGGTCACCTTCCATAGCAACTGCACTGGCCTTCTTCCATCCGCCTCAGCTGGTTTCAGGACTCTCCACAGTTCCAGGCCACATGGAGCTGTAAGGAACGAGAATGAGGTACTCAACCCAGAGAGACAGAGAGAAGGGAGTTGCAAAGGAGACAGGGAATGTTAGCTGGGAAGTTGAGAAGGATTTGCTTGAGGGAGCCAGTAGGAATAAGGTGAGGAGTGGAGGGATGGCAGCCTTGCAATGATCAGTGATGTCTTCATTTTATGGTCAAGGAACTGCAATCAACCAAAGATAAAACATAAAACTCCTCTTGAGTCTAATGCTTAATGTAAAATAAAGAAAAAGTATATAGGCCTCATTGTAATATAATTTGTCACCCAAATCTAGATCAAAATGTGACCATCTCATGTCCTCTAGACCTAACATATATATTAAAGCTGGGAATGACACAGATAACTGACAAGGAAATATATGTATATATAACATGTCTACTTCCAAAAAATGGAACTGCATACTTACAATGTTATAAAATATAAGAAAAAATTAAATAACAAAGGAACAAGAAGATAATCTTTACTAGGTCCCTCCCTGAGCTCTAAATTTAATGCTGGTTTTCCCAAATAAAAAAGAATCACATTGAGGTGCCCATTTCTCGTGGTCCAATAAACAGGAAACCTAGAAATTCATATGAAGGACAATTATTTTCTGGCTATAAACACTGAAACCATAAATGGAATTTATCACGTGGATCTTTTCAAAAAGGACACAGAGTAACATAAAAGCCAATATCTGCAATCCCAGTAGAACAAAAGCACAGAAATGTCATATATGTGCATTTTTCGTGGCTGTTTTCTATAAATAGCCAGGGCGTAAATCCTGACACATGCCTTTTTCCAGTAAACAACATAGTCTAGGACAACAGTCCAAGTGTACAGGCTTCTGATGATCTAACCATACAGAGATATAACTTACAGAAAACAAGGAATTTACATTTCATTTGATTTCTGGACCATATTTCTCAAATATCACATCTCAAGCAAGTTTTGTCAAGGGATGGCTCACTGGCAATTTATAGTTGAATGCCCTGACATGCACCTGGGATGTCAAAATGCTGAGCTACTGATTAAAGAATGACCTACCCACCTTAGCCATGGGAGGAAAGCAGAGAGTTCTGAACAAATGTCAAGAAGGCCAGTGGCCCGCGATTTGGGGAAGAGAGTAAATGTCTCTAATCAAAGCTGCAGTTGTTGGACTCTGAATTTTTTCTTGAGGAAGTCACGTGGCTAGAGATAATGTAATTAGGTTCACAAAGAATGAGTCCACCACTCAGACCAAGATCTAAACTATTTTAGAAGTAAGAGATCATTTTCAGGGATCCTTTAAACAATAGGTGATTGGGTATCTTAAAGTAAAATTGCTGGCTGGGCACAGTGGCTCATGCCTGTAATCCTAGCACTTTGGGAGGCCAAGGCAGGTGGATCACTTGAGGTCAGGAGTTCAAGACCAGCCTGGAAAACAGTGAAACTCTGTCTCTACCAAACATATAAAAAATTAGCCAGGTGTGGTGGTACACCTATAATCCCAGTTACATGGGAGGCTGAGGCAGGAGAACCCGGGAGGCAGAGGTTGCGGTGAGCCAAGATCTTGCCACTGCACTCCAGCCTGGGCGACAGAGCAAGACATGTCTCAAAAAAAATTTTTTTTTAAAAAAGTAAAATTACTGAACTCCAGTTAAAGACAATCTTATAATGAGGAAAATATGCCAAGTACAATTGAGTCAATAACTTGTTTTGCCTTCAAAGGAGAGTCACATTCCTACAACTACTCTTGCAGAAGCCAGTGTAGTTAACACAGTCTAGCTGTTAGGCCCAGGGTCTCCCAATGAAATGTATTAAATGCAATTCCATTAGAATTGCCTATAAGGAGATTCAACTGTGTTGACTTTACATATTACTTCATCTGAATCCCACTGAGGTATTGTCTCAAAAGCTCTGCCAGGAGTTTTCTGATTTCTCAAAGGCTTTTATTGAATCAGAAGACAGGACAGCTAGTACTCAAGTTTCTCAGACAGGAAGCAACAGGCGGGTTTCAGCCTGTCTACAAGCCAGTGAGATATAAGCAGTAGCAAAGCTCCTCCCGGAAGACAGCCTTCGACAGGGCTACAAGATCATTAGGCCTTCCAAGGAAACCCACAGGATTAGAGGAACATCCACTCTATCTCTAACATGCAGAATCTCTCTGTTCCAATCATGTGGAGAGTCAAACTCAGGGACAGTAATATTGAGAGTAAGAAGAAAAAAATCAAAAGACAAGGTGTTCATTACTACCCAGTCCTAAATATTCATCTCAAGGATAGTTACAGGCAAAACTAAGCTGATTATTAAACAATCATTCCAAGCACTTGACTAGAAATATGAGTAAAATTCTTCCTGGATTTATCCCATAGGCTAGTTGGGCGTGGTGGCACACGCCTGTAGTCCCAGCTACCGGGGAGGCTGAGGTGGGAGAGTCCCTTGAGCCTGGGAGGTGGAGGCTGCAGTGAGCTGAGATCTCACCACTACGTTTCAGTCTGGGTGACAGAGTGAGACCCTGTCTCAAAAAAAAAATTATTCCATAGGCAGTCATTTTGTTTTCATAGATGGTAATAATAAATGAGTTTAAATGATAGTTTCTTCTTTCATTGAGGCCACTGTTCCCTGCAAATATGGTCCAAAGAGAAACAGTCTTCTCAGTACAGACTTCCCACAGACACAGCTGTTAGTGAAACCACTGCCTGACTAGCATGTTAGTCTTCTATAGTTATTCTATCCGGCTTTCCATGAACCATAAATTGATAATGGATTTGAGGTTTAATCAAAGGGGGAAAAGTAAGGACTCTGTGAAAAAAAAAAAAACAAAATTAAAATTTTCCAAATCAACCAAAATATCTACGTATTCAAAGGCATCAATTGTCTGGACTGATACAGCAACAACTGATACTAGACTATTTTTATTACAATATGGGTATCCCATAACCACTACCAGGTAGACATATACAGGTACCCCTGCTAAAGACCAACAATAATAAAAGCTAACTCTTAGCCAGTGTCAGTTTATTGAAATTTTCTCATTTAATCCCATAGCCCTATAATTAGATACAACAATAACGTTACTATTATTTCTAAAGTATAGAGAAATTAAGCAGGTATCCAATATCACAAGCTTTTAAGAAATACAGGCAGGATTTGAATCAAATTATATCTGTATCATGTAGTGAGTAGATATTTAAATGCCTAAATCTAGGTAAAAACTCTAATAATCAATAAATTGAAATCCAAAAGAAAATTGTGCTTCATATTCAACTTGGAATACACGTTTTCTTTTTTTTTTTTCTTTTTCTTTTGTTTTTGAGACAGAGTTTTGCTGTATCACCCAGGCTGGAGTGCAGTGGCACAATCTCGGCTCACTGTAACCCCTGTCTGCTGGGTTCAAGTGATTCTCCTCTCTCAGCCTCCTAAGATTACAGGTGCACACCACCACGTCCAACTAATTTTTTGTATTTTTAGTAGAGATGGCATTTCACCATGTTGGTCAGGCTTGTCTCGAACTCCTAAACTTGTGATCTGCCCACCTCGGCCTCCCAAAGTGCTGGGATTACAGGTATGAGCCACTGCGCCAGGCACGTTTTTAAACAATTAGGAAGGTTTAAGACGGTATGTATTAAACAACTGGCATTTCATTGAAATAGGAAAGCATGTACTTTATCAATGGGAAAACAAGAAATGAGGATTTGCCGGGAGCTGGGGGTGCATTTTAATCAGTTTCTTCTGGGGATTCTGAAAAAATGAAGGACAAAAGCAAAAGTTCTCTAGTGGTGACTTTGATAGATAAGTGTTGATTTGGTTTTATTAGCAAAAATATATATAACACCAGCATCTGGTATTTGCTAATTAATCTTAATCAAGCTTGCTGAACTAATACGTCAGATGAAATAGGAAATCTTGTTTCTGGCAGCAAAACAAGTGAGAAAACTAACACAAGGGACTGACTGGTCTGTGATGAGCTTGAGGCTCTGAGCCATGATGGCACCAGGAGGTCACTAGAGAGAAGAGTGACAGGCATGGCAGGGGAAGAGCTAGGCAAAACACAACGGCCCCCAAGGTAGCACTTACTCATCAGCTTGCCTGCTGCAAAGTGAAACAAAGGAAGAGAACTATTTGCTGAATGATACTACATGAACATCTCCAGCGGGGAATACAAAATTCAGAAGGCATCAAATTGGTTCCAGACATCTGACCACAGGGGTGAATGTACCAAACATCTATTAATACTAGTCTCATAGGAAACTCAACCAGAATCCAAAGAAACAAATCATTATCATGTGGATGAGGAAGCACAGAAGTTGACCCCAGATGTTATCTGAGACCAGTCTCAGATATGGGTATGAGACTGAAATCTCATTTTCTATTACAATATGGATATCCCTAAACCACCTGAAATCATGAGGCCTGAAATCATGGCCATGGGGAAATTTATGTTCTAAAACTCACATCTCTCATGAATAAATAAGGTTAAAGCCTCAGAGGAAGGTTAGAAGGGTGGGCATTTTTAAATTTCTTGTCCATAATTTAGAAGAAGATGTGTGGCCATCACCAAGTAATCATCTAATTAGTCATTCATTTGCTGTGTTAAGCTCAAAAATCGCCCTCAAAATATCTCATCCAAATCCCTGGAACCTGTAAATGTTTTTTCCTTATATGATAAAGGGACTTTGCAGATGGGATTAAGGATCTTAAGAGGAGGACATTATCTTGGATTAGCCAGGTGGGTCCTAACTGTGATCACAAAGGTCCTTAAAAGAGGGAGGCACATTATGGGCTCACGCCTGTAATCCCAGCACTTTGGGAGGCCTACATGGGTGAATCATGAGGTCGGGAGATGGGACCAGCCTGGCCAACATGGTGAAACCCCGTCTCTACTAAAAATGCAAAAATTAGCTGAGCATGGTGGTGCATGCCTATAATACCAGCAACTCCAGAGGCTGAGGCAGGAGAATCATTTGAAACAGGGAGTTGGAGGTTGCAGTGAGCCAAGATCACGCCACTGCATTCCAGCCTGGTGACAGAGCAAGACTCCGTCTCAAAAAAAAAAAAAAGGGAGGCAGAGAGGTTTGACATACAAGAGTGGGGAAAGGTGATGTGATGATGGGTGAGAAGTTTTGTAGATGGAGGAAGGACCACAAGCCAAAGAATGCAGGCAGCCACTAGGAGCTGGAAAAGGCACGAAATAGTTTCTCCACCGAGAGTCTCAGAAGGAAACAGCCCTGCTGACATCTTGACTTTAGCCCAGTGAAATTAATTTTGGACATCTAACTTCTGGAGCTATGAAAGACTACATTTGTGTTGCATTAAGTCACTAAATTTGTATTCTTATAGCAGCAATAGAAAACTAATACATTTATCACACATTTATTGATCATCTACTGGGGGCCAGACTCTGGAAAGGGCTCTTGAGAACAGTAACACATGCTGAGTGGTCCTGAACCATTTATTAACGTTTCTGAAACTCAACTTCCTCATTTCCAAAATGGGAGTGACTCTACATATTTTATCATGCTTTTAGGAGGATTAAAAATAGCAATAGGAGGATAAATGATAAGAATAGGAAATCTGGCATTTAGTGAATATCTACTATGGGTTAAACGCATTATTTCATTTAATCTTTAAAATAATGCTAAAAAAATAGATCGTACTATAAACTCAACTTACATATTATATTTCAGTGTAGAAAAGGGGAATAAATGTAAGGAAACTGCTGAGTGGACTTAGAGATTAGGTATCTTGACCAAAGATACTTGGCTTGAGATTTAAGCCAAGCCCACTGAACAGAAGCGTTGGTCTCAATGACTGTCCTGACACTTAGTAAGCATTCGATGAACCTGCAGTCCACGCCTCTTTCCTTTCCTCGCTGTCATTAAAGATGTGATTTTTTAAAAATTGCATTAGTTACATCTTTATTTATTTTTTGAGTAGTAGCTCCAGGGTTCACAATATATACCTTTAATTTATCATAGGATACCTTCAAATGATATGATACTGGCGGGCACAGTGGCTCATGCCTGTCATACCAGCATACCAGCACTTTGGGATGACAAGATGGAAGGATCACCTGAGGTCAGGAGTTCAAGACTAGCCTGGCCAACATGGTGAAACTCTGTCTCTACTAAAAATAAAAAAATAAAAATTAGCTGGGTGTGGTGGAGAGCCCCTGTAATCCCAGCTACTTGGAAAGCTGAGGTACAAAAATCGCTTGAACCTGGGACGCGGAGGTGGCAGTGAGCCAAGATTGCACCACTGCATTCCATCCTGGGCAACAGAGCGAGACTTCATCTCAAAACAAAACAAAAGAAAACAAATGATATGATACCCTTTCATGTATAGTATAAGAACCCCATGAGTATTAAAATGTGATCCTTTGCTTTTGAGGTACAAAGTTGTGCAGGCTCATTCTCAGCTGTGTAGGCCCCTGGGGTCATGGGATTCCGTGGTTCCCAACCAGGACACTTGACAAACCCCCGCAATGCTGCTCAAAGCAGCCCTATGCCAGAGCAGACAGTAAAGGAATCTCAGGGAGCAGCTTGCCTTCTTCCTCAGTCATTCCCATTTTTTCTTGGCTCCAGTCACTCCAGAACTTCGACCCGTCGACTGCACATCGCAGAGCTATGACATATTCTGTAAAAGCCTGCAGCCCCGTGAGGTTGTGGGTTTGGTCTGTATCCCTCCGGTTCTTAGTGAAGTTGACTTCCATCTACAAGACAGAGACAGTCCTAAACTGAAATGGAGACCACACATGTTATCCTCCCATTTTCCTCTTCACTACCCACCATAGTGACTTTAGCCCAGTGAAATTGATTTTGGAACTAGCAGTACTCTAAATCAAATTTTAAAATACATCATTTTCATTGACAGACTTCCACATGCCGGTGAACAACTGGCAGCTATATAGATATGAACATCCCCATGAACCACCACCTCCCTTCCCATTTCCTGTATCTAAGCTTGTGGGGCAGAGGTTCCTGCATCTGGCCTGGCCTGAGTGAGCAGAGCTCTGCTGCTTGCTGTTCTAGAAGATGAAAGCCCCGTGACCCAGGGCAACCTGGGCCTAGGAGGTGACTCCAACACCAAGAGATCCTGCCTCATGGAACAGCAGGAACAGAGACCTTAGCTGCATCAAATGCAATCCTCATGTCATGCATGAGAGCCAGTAAAGTTAAATGATTGTTTAAATGAAAGTTAGAATATCTGCAGAATAGGATCAGAACACAGAGTTCTTCACTCCGAGGCTTTTTCTTTTTACCCAAATCTTTCACGTCAAAGCACTGGTCTTTGGATGACCAGTCAAGCTGCTGAAAGTCTCAACAGCCTGGATGTATAAATCAATTGTGATACTCTCTTGGGGAGGGAAGAGGTAAATAAATCAGTTCTTTTCTCTTGATGTCAGCTTCTCAAAGGTAAAAATGAAGGTGTTGCTTTATATAATTTCTGGGACTCAGCTCTCTAAGAGAAACTAAACATTTAGCTATTCCTTTTCTGAGCACAGCCATTGTTGCTGCAATATAAGCCTTTAGTTCAATATAAATATTTGGCTCAATGTTAAGTATTATAAACCTAAGGTTTATAAAACCTAAACCCTAAAGGTTGATAAAGCTTATTTTGAGCTGATTAATAAAAATAAACTGCACTAATAGGCATGTCTATTTGACTAGTATGCATACAGCATAGTCCTACGGGATCCTGCAAGAGAAGCAAATCCTACTTACATCTATGTCACAGCTGTGAAAATTAGTACCTAATTACAGCTCCTGTGCTTTAAGGAAATTGGGTAGAAGGAGGATATGTGTCTGTGGCAGAGAGCTGACAGCTGCAGATAGACTTTGCAACTCCATCCAGCTGCAGATGGTCTTTGGAACTCCCAGCCTGGTGAGATGGGTGTGGAACAAGAAGAAGCAATGGCAGTTTGGGGGCTGAATCCCATGTTCCCTAAGCATCCTCTTCAAACAGGCCCTGGAGATGCTGTGGTGGCGCACTAGGGTTGTGGAGAGCATAACTTGGGACAAGCTCTTGTTAGTTAAGGATCCAGCTGGGTGCAGTGGCCGACGCCTCTAATCCTAGCAGTTTGGGTGGCCAAGGCAGGTGGATCATGAGGTCAGGAGTTTGAGACCAGCCTGGCCAAGATGGCGAAACCCTGTCTCTACTAAAAACATAAAAATTAGCCAGGCATGGTGGTAGGCACCTGTAATCGCAGCTACTGGGGAAGCTAAGGCAGGGAATTGGTTGAACCAGGAGACAGGGGTTGCAGTGAGCCAAGATGGCACCACTGCACTCCAGTCTGGGCAACAGAATGACACTTGGTCTCAAAAAAAAAGGAAGGATCCAGTTAGAACAGGATTAAGACTGCCAGGAAAGGCCCACCTACATGGTACCCTCCCTATATGATTCAAAATGAAAATACTAATCCATACAGCAAGTGTAACAAAGTCTAGTAAAGCTCTATTTTACTTTTCATGCATTAAAAAATACATAATATTCTTCTTTTTAATCTTTCCATTTTTCCTCCTGCTTTGTTGTACCCTTAGCACATGCTCAGCCTGTGTTGTGCTTCTCATCATGTTTATGCTCAGAAAGTTCTGTCTAACGTAGTCACGGAAGCCTGTCCCTCCCAGCCCCAGCCTCAGAGGAGACGAAACAGCTGCTCAGTCTTTTAAATAAGGCGCCTGTAAGGCTCCTTTACTTTGTTATTTTGTCCAGCCAGCGTGCCTCTGGCCTTGACAGGGTCCACGATCAACTGATCTAACACACTCCCCCAACTCTGCACAGGCAATGGGACCCTACCAAAACATTAATTCCCTTCATCAGGTTCATTGCTAACAATCTATGCTTTGTGCCAAATCCTGACTCACCCAAAATGTTTGTCTTAAGAGATGAATCAGAAGTTCTAGTACAAAATCTAAATCAAATTCTGTGTGTTTTTTTTTTTTTTTAAGATCTAAAACTTCCCCAGCTCTGCACAGGCAATGGAACCCTACCAAAACATTCATCAGCTTCATCAGGTTCATTGCTAAGTCTACGCTTTGTGCCAAATCCTAACTCTCCCGAAGTGTTTGTCTTAAGAGATGAGTCAGAAGTTCTGGTACACAACCAAAATCAAATTCCGTGTGGGCTTTTTTTTTTTTTTCAAATGAAGTATTGTTTTCTTACCCAGGCTGGGGTGCAGTGGCACTATCTTGGCTCACTGCAACCTCTGCTTTCCAGGTCCAAGTGATTCTCCTACCTCAGCCTCCCCAGTAGCTGGGGCTACAGATGTGCACCACCATGTCCAGCGATTTTTGTGTTTTTAGTAAAGACAGGGTTTCACCATGTTGGCCAGGCTGGTCTTGAACCCCTGACCTTAGGTGATCCACCCACCTCAGCCTTCCAAAGTGCTGGGATTACAGGTGTGAGCCACTGCAGCCAGTCCATATATCAAATTCTTAAAACAGTTTTGAGGTCCCTTTTCTAGGACTCTTAACAATGGAAATCTTTGATAGAAGATTGGGAAGAGCTGAGTTGGGTTTAGCTGGGCTTACAACTGAGGATAACTGATTGTATTTGAAAGCTAAGGAGAAGGCTAGGTGAAGAAGGAAGGGTTATCAAATCTGGAGATACTGAAAAGCTAAAAAGTAAAAAGTTAATCATAAGTTTTGGGTGACCAAACAGGATTCTAAATAAGTTGGAATGCTAGATAAGACCGACATGAAGAAATTCAGTAAGAATAAATAAAACACCTGAACTTAGGTTAAAACCCAACAAATGATGAGACAGTAGAGGTATGTTTTACAAGCAAGTCTTCAGCAGAAGGTAAAAAAATCTTGATTTAATTGGCTAATTTAATTGATTAAAAATCAATAATGTAACTGCTCGTGATGGCTCACACCTGTAATCTCAGTACTTTGGGAGGCTGAGACAGCAGGATCACTTAAGACCAGGAGCTCAAGACCAACCTGGGCAGCACTTCAAAAAAATTAAAAAATCAGCCAGGATGGTGGCAAATGCCTGTGGTCCCAGCTACTTGACAGGATGAGGCAGGAGGATCGTTTGAGCCCAAGAGTTCAAGGCTGCAGTGAACTGCGATCACACCATTGCACTCCAGCCTGGGCAACAGAGTGAGACCCTATCTAAAATTTTTTAAAAGTCAATAAAAATGAGATTATTACAAAAGGGTGATATAATTTCTGGTTGCTTTGATGGAAATTGGAGAATATTTTCTTGACTTTGAGGTAAGAAAACATTTCCTAAGACACAAAAGGCGTTAAGCATAAAGGTGAAGACTGTCAAAATTTAACGGTATTAAAATTAAGTGACCATTCCTCAAAAGTCACCATTAAGAGAGTGAAACGTCATGCCACATAGTGAAAGATGTTTGCAATACACATAATAAATAAAAGACTCATAAATAGAATATATAAGGAATGCCTACCAATCAACTGAAAAATCAGGCAGACCATCCAATAGAAAACATATGCAAAAGGCTTAAATCAGCACTTCCAGAAGAAGGAATCTAAAGGACCAACAAACATATGCTAAAGTGTGCAACTTCACTAAAAGTCAAGTAAATGCAAATTAAAGCCACCATTCCATCATGTTCATACAACAGGATACTACACAGCAATGAAAATGTATAAACTACAGCATTATACAGCATGAATAAATCTTAAAAGCACAATGTTTAGACATAGAAGCCAAACATTAGAAAATACAAAATGTATGGATTCCATTTATATGCTCTTCTTCTATTTCTATCGGGCGCTCCTTCATCCTGGGGCTCAAGGAAAGAGGGCATAGTCTCTTAAACTATTTTTAGTAATGCAGGCTTAAATGGCAAAACAAATGAAAGCAAAGAAGAGACTACCATGAAAATCAGGGCAATAGTTAGCTCTAAAGGAGGATGGGCAGGTGGGGCAAGCAGAGGGCTCTGGCATCCTGGAGATGTTCTACAGTATTCTTGACTGCAGTGGTTTCTACATGAGCACTGACTTAATAACTTGTTAAATGAAATATTCATTTTTTTTCACTTCTCCAAATGTATGTTATAACTAATGATTTTATAAAGGGTTGGAAAAATAAAAAATAAAATGGTCAAATCATAGACTCTCCGGTAGCCAGCATAGCCAGACAGACAGAAACTTGGATGTAATGCAAAAGTAAATTTCTCACTCTTTATCATATCCCTGCACCCAGGAGGCAAAAATGCCTATTGTAGAACACTCTTCCAATCTAAAAGGTTCAGATGGAAAAATGGAAAACTGAGAAGTACTTAGCAATGTCTCTCTTCTATTTTTGACTTCAGGCCAACAATAGTTGTCAATGATTCTTTTTCTCTGGTCCTCTAATAGGAACATTATTATAACGGCATAACTTACCCAGCTGGTACTATTGACTGTCCTGAAATGAAGTGTGTATTTTAAGTTAGATGAAACAGGCGCCAATTCAGGCTTTATCCATTCAATTTGAATCATTCGTTTGATGCCCCAAACTGGTTTCACACTGAAAATCTCAGGTGGTTCAGTTTTTGCTGAAAATAAAAATCACACAACTTTCATATTTGCAAAAAGATAAGAATTTTCTAATGGCATCCACCCAAAATTGAAAAAAGGAAAGTGCCTAGAAAGGAAATGACAGTGCATCGTGGTCTGCTATATGAACGAAGATGGCATTTGCAAGGCAGTACAAAAGGAATATCACCCTCCCAACCCCAACACCTCTGAAAAAAAAACCTAGTGAGGAAAAGGATGTACTCCTGTGATTTTTTAGCAAATCAGCCTCTTATTGATTGGGTCATATGCTATGTCAAGCAGAAGGGAGGTAAAAAGAGACCACACAATCGGAAAATAGGCTGTCTCTCTTATTTACTCTCACCTCCCCTAGGCCTCTCCGTCCTTGATCCCTGGGATGATGGAATATCCACCAAAAACACTAGAAAATAACTCTCATTTTCTTTGGACACTGCAAACATTCTAACCCCAAATTTCACTCTTTGAAAATATGCATATTTCTAGTTATAAAAGTAGCATGTGCTCATTATATAACATTTTTTAAATGTAGAAAAATACAAAGAAAAACTAAAAATTATCCATTATCCCATCAATCAGAGATAACCCCTATTACCATTTTGGTATATTTCCTTTCAGGCTGTTTTCTATATAATTATTTGCATTATCTTTTAAACAAAATTGATATTATGCTAAATAAAGCTTTTGTCTTTTAAAAATAACATTATGCAATCGGCATATATCCCCTTCTATTAATAATTCTCTGAAACATGATTTTTAAGGTTCATAATATTCTACTTTATGAATGAATGTAATTTTTTGACTTATGTTCTATTATTGCACGTTCACAGTATTACAGTAGGTAGCTAGTCAGGCTTGAGTGGGACAGGTGACGGCTCCCCATACACCTCACCAGGAAAGTCAGGGGACCATCAGGTGATGGATGGTCAGAGAGTTGTCAATCTGCGTTGCAAACCTAATAATTAGTTGCAGCCAGCACTAGGAAAAAGCAGTTTCCCAATAAATAAAAACACCTGTAACTGGTGATTGGCAGCTTGCCAATAAGATCTCAGGAATTGGGCCAGGAACAATGGCTCACGCCTGTAATCCCAGCACTTTGGGAGGCCAAGGCGGGTGGATCAAGAAGTCAGGAGTTCAAGACCAGCCTGGCCAACAGTGAAACCCCATCTCTACTAAAAATACAAAACTTAGCTGGGTGTGGTGGCGGGTACCTGCAGCTCAGCTACTTGTGAAGCTGAGGCAGGAGAGTCACTTCGACCCTGGGGGCAGAGGTTGCAGTAACCAAGATTGTACCACTGTACTCCAGCATGGGCACTACAGCGAGACTCTGTCTCAAAAAAAAAAAAAAAAAAATCTCAGGAATTGGGCGAGTGGGCTCAAGCATGGGCATTAAGAGGCAAAATGGCAGAAAGTAACTGGTATATGAGCTTCTGGGCCATTCCACTGCAAAAGGGAAGAATGCTCAGGTGAGCATGCATAGGACTCCAGTAAACACACTGCACATGCTCACCTTCTAAGTGCTAGCAGGCCACCGTGCATGTGTGCAGCTCACCACAGGGAAACAGGATGCAAGATGCCAGAAGTAGGCCAGCATAGAAAACCCTAAGTCCAAGGTCAAACGGGCACTTGACCTCCAAGATGCCCACTTGGCCCTCTTCCAAGTGTTCTTTACCTTCTTTCCATTCCTGCTCTAACGCTTTTTAACAAACTTCTACTCCTGCTCTTAAACTTGCCTCAGTTTTTTCTTCTGTCTTATGCCCTTCAGTTGAATCAGTTGACTTCTTTCTTCTGAGAAGGCAAGGATTGAGGTTGCTACAGACCCATACAGATTTGCTGCTGGTAATTCAGATAACTTCCACCACTAACAATAGTGTTTCTAATTTTTCATTTAAAACTCCTTGAAGACAAAGGCTGGTCGTGTTCACAGAGTCTGGAATTAACCCCTGATATTTAGCAGGTATCAAATATTTGTTAAGTGAATGAGTAAATGGATGATAGTTGAATCTTCCTTTATATCTCTGATGGTTTCCTTAGACCCCTTAGCATAGGCTGATGGGGTAAAAGGGCATGCCCATTTTTTGGGCTGCTGTCACACAGTGCCATTTTGCTTTCCGGAAAGGCTATATCAATTTCAGTTTCCATCAACATTGTATGGAATACCCGTCTTACCACACTCTTCCTAGCTAGAATTGAATAGTATTATCTTTTCAGTCTTTGTAATTCTTTTTTAAAAATTTTTAATTTTTGTAGGTACGTAGTTGCTATATATATTTATGGGGCATATGAGCTGTTTTGATACAAGCATGCAATGTGAAATAAGCACATCATGGAGAATGGGGTCTTTGTAATTCTTGAAGAGTTTTGAAAAGTAAAATCCCTACTTAGAAACATGGACTTTAAAACATTAACTGGGTAAAAATATTCAGAAAGCTCTTGGTAGCTACAAAAAATAATTTGTACTGATACCTGAACTAAGGGGTGGTCATCAATTCATGAGGCCACTCAGTAAGTAGAGCTGTATACAATGGACATATTAAATATTTCCATAAAATTATTGATATGTATTGAGAATAAGTATTTTTTAAAGTATTTTTAGGTGAATCATTTTGTTGAATCCTCTCAACCACCTAACATTTATTATATCCATTCTACAGAAGATAAAACTGGTATTGGAAAAGGTAAAATAACTTTCTAATAAGAAGCCAATCTAAGACTCATTTGTGTCCATACCAAAGCTCCTGCCCTTACTCATTACACAAAACTACCTCCAGTCAGAATAAGCACAAATACCTACTGTAGTTCCACTTAACTCTAATACTCTATCACCAAGGAGACAGAAAGTATTAATTATTCTTCGGAATAAAAATTGCTCTCAGAATTTCTCATTAAGAATTGATGTATATCAAGTGACATCAGCAAAATGGCAGACTAGGTAGCTCCAACTCCTTGTTATCCTGTGAAAACAAGACTCACCTCAGTTTTTTCTTCTGTCTTATGCCCTTCAGTTGAGTCAGTTGAATTAAAAAAAAAAAAGTCAGAAGCTGGCTGAACTAAACTTGTAGGAGCTCTAAGAATCAACCCAAGGTTTATAAACATTATAAACACCAAATCAAGACAAAGTCACCTTCATAGTGGCAGGAAAATAGTTTTGTGGCTGTCTTACCTGCCCTTGCCCCACCTTCTCCCTGAAACATCAGTGGTCTTGGTTTGGAGAAGGTGGTACCTCAGCTCCTATTTCCCTTCCACCAACTGGAGGGAGCAGAGCACACTTATTTACATTCCAACCTATCTGAGGGCAAACTAAAGGACTGACAATATTCTTATCAAAATTGCAGCTGACTTCTTTGCAGAAATTGACAAGCTAATACTAAAATTTATATGGAAATGCAAGGGACGGAACAGCTAAAACAATCTTGAAAAAGAACACAGTTGGAGGACTCACTTTCCCAATTTCAAAACTTATCATAAGCCTACAGTAATCAAGACAGTATAGTATTGGCCTAATGACAAAAATATAATTAAATGGAATAGAATTGAGAACCCTGAAAAATACCTTACATTTATGGTAAATAAATTGATTTTTACAAAGGCGCCAAGACAATTCAACAACATGGGGAGGGGTATGATGGCATAAATCATCTTTTCAACAAATGGTTCTATGATAACTGGATATCCACATGCAAAAGAACACAGTTAGACCCCTACTTAACACCATATACAAAAATTAACTCAAAATGGATCAGTGATTCAAATGTAGGAACTAAGACTTCAAAACTCTTAGAAAAAACTACAGCAGTAAATCTTTCTGACATCAGGTTAGGCAATGGTTTCTTAGATATGACACCTAAAGTACAAACAATCAAAGAAAAAATATGTACATTTTTTACTTCATATAACTATTGTTCTTCCTTAACCATTTAAAAAGTAAAAGAAAACATACAAACAGGGAGGAAATATTTGCAAATTACGTATCTGATAAGAAACTTGTACCAAGAATATATAAAGAATTCTTAAAACTCAACAATAGGGCCGGGCGCGGTGGCTCACGCCTGTAATCCCAGCACTTTGGGAGGCCGAGGCGGATGGATCACGAGGTCAAGAGATCGAGACCATCCTGGTCAACATGGTGAAACCCCGTCTCTACTAAAAAATCACAAAAAATTAGCTGGGCATGGTGGTGGGTGCTTGTAATTCCAGCTACTCAGGAGGCTGAGGCAGGAGAATTGCCTGAACCCAGGAGGCGGAGGTTGCGGTGAGCCGAGATCGCGCCATTGCACTCCAGCCTGGGTAACAAGAGCAAAACTCCGTCTCAAAAAAAAAAAAAAAAAAAAAAAACCTCAACAATAAAAAGACAACCTAATTATAAATAGGCAAAGGATTTGAATAAACATTTCTCTAGAGAAGATGTATAAATGGGCAATAAACACATGAAAAATGTTCAACATCATTAGACATTGGATAAATGCAAATCAGAACCACAACAAGGTACCACTTCATACTCACTAGGATGGCTATAATAAAAAAAGATGGACAATAACAAGTGTTGGTGAGGGTATGCAGAAATCGTAACCTTTATAAATTACCAGTGGGAATGGTAAATGGTGCAGCCACTTTGATAAAGTTTAGCAGTTCTACCAAAAGTTAAACATTGAGTTACCATGTGACTCAGCAATTTCACTAGGTATATATCTAAAAGAATTGAAACATAAGTCCACACAAAAATTTGTACACAAATATTCATGGCAACAAATTATTTTTGATTATTCATAATAATCAAAAGGTAGCAACAAGCCAAATGTCCATAAACAGATATGTGGGTAAAGAAATGTGGCACATCCATCCAGCGGAATATTATTTAGCTGTGAAAAGAAATATAGCACTAATACATGCTGCAACATTGATGAATCTTGAAAACATTATGCTAAGTGAAAGAAATTAGATACAAAGACCACATATTATATCATATTTATATAAAAATGTATAGGCAAATCCACATAGGGAGGAAAGAGAAAACAAAGGATTGGGGACTGACTGTTAATGGGTATGAATTTTCTTTTGAGGGCAATAAAAATGTCCTGGAATTAGACAGTGGTGACATTTGTACAACTCTGTGAATATGACAAAAACCATTGAACTGTATACTTAAAAAAGGTGAAATTTATATAATGTGAATTCTATCTCAATAAAGTTATAATTTTAAAAGGATATGGTGAAAATGAGTCTTTGAAAAAGTTTTTTTTTAAAGTCAGAAGTAGTGAGGCATTTTTTAAAACGAGAATTTTATGATCTTTTCCTTTATAAGCAATGACATTGGCAGGGTGGGGTGGTGGGGAGAGACCTTTTTGTTTTTTGAGTGCAATTACAAACTACAAGAGGAAACCAGTGGCCCACAAAATAGCTCTTGTTTCTCATTCCTTTTTTCTCATTTGGTCAATTCCTTCCTTTCTTCCTTCCTTCCTTTTCCTTCCTTCCTTTCTTCCTCCCTCCCTCCCTCCTTTCCTTCCTCCCCCACTTCCTTCCTTCTTTAATTAGAAGATGAATTTTCTGTATACCCATAACACATTATATCCTTGAACATGATGAGTCTACTTTTGAGTCCATAGATACCTCTTTAACAAAGAAGAAGGAGGTAAACATTTAATAAAGAGTATATAGGAATATCAAATAACACTTACCTATGCCCTCTAAGTGCCAATATGTCATATCAGATGTAATTACACCATCTGCATTTTGAGCTTCCACCTCAATGGTACAATTATCTGGGTTCGTTATTCTTGGAAGGAAAAAAGAGCACGCAGCACGATTTTCACTTGTAGAACTATTGGTTGTACAATTATCATGCTTTTGTCCGTAAGAGCTTTGAAGGAAAAAGTGATTCAACATGAATTTAGTACAATGGTTTGGAAACATAGCCATACTTAATGTATTAAGCGGTATTTATTAGTTTTACTCTGGGTTTCTCTTGAGAATTGCATAGTCCAGAATATTCGGTTATCCTCTTTCCAAATTCCTTTCCCACCTCCAAGGAAAGGTAAAGGCTACCTGTTTTCAACCAGTTGAGATGCTTCAGGAGCCATAAAAACCTCTTTAGATCCCCGTAAGCCATGAAAAACTACGGCAGCAATGCATGTCCTATTGGCAAGAAATCATGAGTAGGCCCCTGAAAACTCCAGATTCTAGCCTTAAAAATTTATTCTTTTACATATGTATATGAAAATTTATTCATATATATGAGGATTTGTTAAATAAATTATGGCAGATACATAAATCGAATTTAAAATGATGGTTTTTAATATACTGTATTTATTGATATGGAAAGATGCACCTACTGCTGGTGAAAAAAGTAGGATGCATATCATATATAGAATGATCACAGTTACATAAACATATAGATATTTACATAACTATTTGGAGATATCTAGAGAGATCATCAAAATGTTCAAGCTGTTACCTTTGGCGGTGTGGATTCTGGGTAACTTTTTACATTCTTTATAATTTTTCAGGTTGAATTTTTGAACATTGGTATATACTGTTTTCAGAAAATTCTTTAAAACAAATGATAGACAATATCAAGTTGTAACTTAACAAAAACAAACACACATATTAGTAAAAATCAGATGGGTGGTTCCAGCTTTAGTCCACGTGGTTCTGGGGTCTGTAGAGGAGATAAAGCAGGCTGAGAACAGAAAAGAAGGCCCACCTTGCAAAGTACCAGGGTTTGCTAGTGTGCGCGAAGGAATCGTAGCTTAGACACATAGAATCATGGCATTTTGAAACTAGAAAGGGCCTCAACAGTGGTTGATGGTTATTTTACAGCACAAAAATGGCCTCCAGGGCAGTGTGCCATGGTCATAAGCACAGGCTCTAGAATCAGACCAGGTTTGAATCTTGGCTTTGCCCCTATTAACTGTGTGATTTGGGCAAGTTCTTTAACCTCTCTGCCTTAGTTTTTTCATCTGTAAAATAAGGACAGTAATATATCTATAGCATAGAGTTATGAGGATGAAATGAGCTAATACACATAAGGCATTTTAGAATGTCCAGCACTGAGTCAATAAATGTGAGCTGTTATTATTACTATTATTGTAGTTGAATATTTCTGCATTTATTCATGCTGTGACCTTTGAGAAATAGCCTTTCTCTCCTTTTCCACACCTCTAGACCTCCTTTGAGCCTCAGTTCAAAAATCACTATCTCCATGAAGGCATCCCCAAATCCTCCTTTTTCCCCCCAGGGAAAATTCTTTCCTACTGTTTCTGGACAGCAGAAGGTTTTTGGCTTATTCCATGATCCAGTGTAAAGTGCTTCCAGGTTGGCCAACCACAGGGAAACCCTTCCACTTTGCTTGGAAGAGATACTCTTGGTGATAAACTCACAAAAATGCAAGAAGCTTAGGAGTTCTGGAGAGCCTGGCTGGCCTGAGGCCATCAAGGGGAGCTGGGTATAGGCCTGGGGGAACACCCAGGTGTTTTCTATTTCTCTAAAGCCAACTGGTGACAATAATGACAACCCAAAGGGAAAGATAGAGGAAAGGGGGAAATGTCTCTATAAAACAGAAAAATAGGAGTAAACCAGGTACCCAGATTCTCATTCTACTAGTAATTGATATTCAACACTGGGACTAGAACTGACAAATCTGGAAGAAAATCATTTGGATCATGGGCTATTGCATCTTTATCATTCTTATTTTTTAAAACAGGAATGAGCAAATGGCAGCCTGAGGTCAAATACAGCCCATCTCTTGTTCTTGTACAGCCTGCAGGCTTAAAACTATTTACATGTTGTTAATGGTTGAAAAAATAAATAAAACAAAGAAAAATAGTTTGGGGCATGTGAAAATTATATGAAATTCACATTTCAGTGTCCGTGAATGAAGTTTTATTGGAAAGCAGCCACACCCATTGGTTTACATATTGCCTATAGCTGGGTGAATGCTGTAACACTAGGGTTCAAAAGTTTTGACAGGGACCAATCTCCTTCTAAATATTATTATATTTACCATCTGGCTCTTTACAGGAGAAGTTTGCTGATTCCTGTTTTAAAGCATCTCTCTGACATAGGTCCTTGTAACTATATCAGTGCTGCAGAGAATACCGCTTGTTTTTTTCATTTCTTCCACTGTAAAACATAAAGTGGACTTCCCTTGCAACATGAGATTTTGCTTAAAAACAAAGAATTTGGAATTACAGACTGTTTTGAAATGAAAAGGCTAAAAAGATCATCTTACAATGCTTCCCAACATGGGCCCCCTTATTCATTTTTCACAGGAAGGAAGTAATGAGCTATGCTCAAAATTTTTGTTAAAAAGGACGGGCACAGTGGCTCATGCCTGTAATCCCAGCACTTTGGGAGGCTGAGGTGGGTGGATCATTAGAAATCAGGAGTTCGAGGCCAGCCTGGCCAACATGGTGAAACCCTGTCTCTACTAAAAATACAAAAGTTGGCCAGGCATAATGGTGTGCACCTGTAAGTCCAATACCGGGAAGGCTGAGACAGGAGAATCACTTGAACCTGGGAGGTGGAGGTTGCAGTGAACTGAGATTACACCATTGCACTCCAGCCTGGGCAACAAAGTGAGATTGTCTCAAAAAAAAAAAAATTAACCTGCAAATATTCACTTAAAACATCTAGCTTTTGGCTAGAATTATAATTAAAAATTATAAAATTTTCATTCTACGGAATTGGAATAAAGAGGGATGCTTGAGATAGTGAAAAAAAAAATGGGGAATCATTGTCCTGGGGAATACTGTTTGACAGAGGTCACACAGCAACTTAGTGGCAGACCATGGTCAATCACCTCTTAGTTCTGGGTTTACAACCCTGTATACTATATCTGGATCGAGAAAGAATGAACAGTGTTATACACATTCTGGAAAGAGGCAGGGTATACTTGGGTGTAGCAAATAAACAGATTTTTCCACTGTTCTTATAAATGGTGACTGATCTCAGCCAATGGGGAATCCGGGAGGACACCATTGGCTATGCCTCCCTTCCCTCTGCAGCTGCAGATCCACAAGCCACTGGACGCACACAGCAGTCACCCAGAAGCTGTCATCGAGGAAACTTTTTACTTCATATGCAATGTGAATCATGAATCAATCAGGAGCCTCTGCCTCCCCCATACCCCCACTGGTAAAACACAAGCTTCTGTACTTACTAAGTTCTCCTAACTGTGTACTGGGTATAACTGGTTTCCTCTCCTGGACTCCAAGTGCAAGTTAAATTTTTCCTATAGTAGTAGACGCAAGAAATGTTCTCAGGCTTAGCAGGCAGAGCTAAATAAACAAACAAACAAAAAAAAACCACACAAACACAAAAATTTCAGCATATAATAAATCTTGCCAACATTGAACATTTTAATGGAAAATAGGCTGACCAAAAGCTAGATTTTTTTGGTTACTTGCTAGGTGTAATGGGTTCTCCCAATCAGGTTTGATGGAAAGAATCTAACTTCATGTCTTTAATTATTCCCTTTGAAGAGCTAGATTTCTACTTTTTTTTTTTTCTTGGAGATGGAGTCTTGCTCTGCCACTCAGGCTGGAGTGCAGTGGTGCAATCTCGGCTTCCTGAACCTCCGCCCCCTGGGTTCAAACGATTCTGCTGCCTCAGCCTCCTGGGTAGTTGGGACTACAGGTGCGTGCCACCATACCCGGCTAATTTTTTGTATTTTTAGTAGAGATGGGGTTTCACCGTGTTAGCCAGGATGGTCTCAATCTCCTGACCTCATGATCTGCCCCCCTCGGCCCCCCAAAGTGCTAAGATTACAGGTGTGAGCCACCGTGCCAGGCCTAGATTTCTACTTTTTAAGAAATCCTTTTTTACAATCTTACTTAAAAGTAACATTTGAGAAGCAAGCATTTTTAAAACACCAAGTAAATATAAAGTATTTGTGATATACTCAGTAAAGCATCAAATGGTAGCATCATTCTGGATAATCCACAGGTAACAGATGACGAGAGCATAAGCAAGAGATACAACCATGCCACACTTCAACCATGTGTATCAACAATTTTCTTTTCCAGAAGATTGTACAATAGAAAAATTTATGAAATACCTTCAACTGTATCTTCATATCTTATAAGTCTTGCTCCTGATAGCTTCCCACCCCATAGCATATACACTTCCACAGGGAAACCAGACATTACCCTCTAAAACAGGGACCTAGACCTTTAAGGGGTCTATGGGTAGAATTCAGGGGTCCATGAACTTAAATGGGGAAAATTTACAACTTTTTCACTAATCTACTGGAGAAATTTAGAATTTCCTTCTATCATAAATGTAGTCAACAAACTACAGTAATAGTGTCATTGCCTGTGACTTTGTCACTGTTAGAAATCACAAATACTTTCATATCATATTTTGATTGCTGCAGATACCTTAAAATACTTACATGGTTTAGCTGTGTTCCCACACAAATCTCAACTTGAATTGTGTCTTCCAGAATTACCACGTGTTATGGGAGGGACCCAGGGAAAGGTAACTGAATCATGGGGGCCAGTTTTTCCTGTGCTAGTCTCGTGATATTGAACAAGTCTCACGAGATGTGATGAGTTTATCAGGGCTTTGCACTTTTACTTCTTTCTCATTTTCTCTTGCTGCTGCCATGTAAGAAGTGCCTTTTACCTCCCACCATGATTCTGAGGCCTCCCCAGCCATGTGGAACTTAAGTCCAATTAAACCTCTTTTCCTTCCCAGTCTCGGGTATATCTTTATCAGCAGCATGAAAATGGACTAATACAAATATGAAAAATATTATCGCTATTTCTGAATTAAAATAATTATTAATAGTAGTCTTAAATTAAGGCAATTATTAGGTCTTCTTATTTAATATGTTAATAAAGAAGACCACATATTACCAGATCACAAATTTGTTTCTTTAATATTTTCATGATTTAATTTCAGTATATTTTGGTTCCTTTGTAATCCTATTTATTTTATGTATTTACAAACATTGTTTCGAGAATTAGCCCATGGTTTCACTAGATGACCAAGGGGTTGATCATAAACACACACACACACAACGAAGAACTAAGAGCAGTTTTAGACTAAGGGCCATGTTCAGCTCTGAGGCTTATACTTACTTCTTTGTTGAGCTTCTGGCAAGACCATAGTCTTAAGAAGCAGGCAATTTTGAGAGAGGAGGGCAACTTCCTAAATTAACTTTACATATCAAAGGAAGCTCTAGTGCTTCCTAGGAAGGAAGTCTCTACCAGACAAAAAGGATCATTTTTAACAAGTAAGTATGAGGGCATGGATGGGAGGGAATGAAAGGAAGGTGGAGCAAAGAATTCTGATGTCAGCGTTCTTGATAGAGCAGTATAAACATGTGGATTGGTCCCATGCACCAAGGTCATCTGGCTGGTAGCCTATTTCACGAGGCACAGCAAGCCTGGGGAGGTTGCCAGGCGGTAATCTAGCAGGGTTCCTCAACCTCTGGGCAAGGTACAGGTCCATGGCTTGTTAGGAACTGGGCCACACAGCAGGAGGTGAGCAGCAGGTGAGCAAGCTTTACAGCCTGAGCTCTGCCCGCTCAGAACAGCAGCAGCATTAGATTTTCATAGGAGCTGAATCCTACTGTGAATTGCACATGGGAGAGTTTGCTTGCTCCTTATGAGAATCTAACTAATGCCTGATAATCTGAGGTATAACAGTTTCATCCCAAAACCATACCCCCACTCCAAACCCAACCCCTGTCCATGGAAAAATTGTCTTCCATGAAACCAGCCAGTCCCTGGTGCCAAAAAGGGTGGGGACCACTAGTCTAGGGGAAGCCTCATGTTCCACTAAGCACCAACTCTGTGGTGGCATGGAAGTCCTAACAATGTGCTGGCAAAAGGTGGCCTGGTGCAGTTCTTCAGGCAAGCTCCATGCAGGTGAATGTAGCACACAGGGATCCAGAACTTTCCCTGTGCCCTCAAAGTGGGGGGTGAGGATACAGCTGTGAGACTGAAGCAGGTCTGGGATTAAGATGAAGCAGCTTCCATACACAGAGGAACTTAAGGACCACAAGCAAACAAATGGAGCATAAGCTTCAGCAGGAGGCATTGGTATGGTGGCCCAAAGCACAGGCAAAGCCAGCTGTCCCATGGCAGATGGCAGAGTGGGATCAGACCACACTGGACAGTTCAGGGGAGACAGAGGGCAACAAGGGGACTTGCTCCCATGGATCCAGAGGCCTTTCCCAAGACTGCAGTCATGTAAACCTTGTTCATATATTTAGACACCATCTTAAAGAGGAGCAGAGGGAGGAACCCCAAAGAGACTGAGTTAGCCAAAGACACCTTCTACCAGAAGCAATGACACAATGTTAACAAATTTAAGTGCTACCCATACCCTCCTCTTCCTCACCCTTGCCTGACTGTCCAGTGGTGGGGGACTTTTGAAATTGATTTGTTTGATCACAGAAAATAGGGACGCTCTATTTCTCTGCACATCTGAATAATATTATATATATTTCCACTCTGTCAGAGGTATTACCCTATAACAAGAAGGTGGCGTAAAGGGGTTCCAGAATGGATGGCATTAGTTGTTTTAACTTTGGAATTTTAAAAGGGCTGTACATGTGTGTGTTTGTATATACATTCATGTATTTGGTCTATGAACTGAGCATTGTCTATATGGGTAAAGGAGCCACTGAGAATGACAAATGAGGGTGAGGGAGAGCTAGGTGGCTTCCTGTTGTGACAACATTTCTAGCTCTCTCTAGAGAAGCTGCCTTCCTCCTGCACATGAGCCTGGCACTCGTAGCAACCATCCAACAAGCAGTTCAAAGGCTTTCTATCTTTGCTACTTGCACACTGAAAACCATGACAAAGCCAGTGATTGCAGATCCAAATGCTTAAAAAGATCAAAGTTAACTGGATCTGAATCAAATAATACTGCATGTTACATAGAGATTGAAAGCTACACCATTAACATTCCTCAAAGAGCCCACACAGCTTGGAATCCTCCCTGGGGATGTCTGGGGTAAGCAAGCAGAATGTTAAGAAACCCCACGCCTCCCAACTGTCAGGAGGAATGTGCAAAGTCCTCCAAGGGGTAGGGTTAGCTCACAACACCCAGGAGGAATAACTCACACACTGGCCCACTCACTCTGTCTCCGTGGCTAACAGATAAGGGCAGTGCATGTAAGGTGCATGTGTATGTGTGTGTGTGTATGGGGTGCGTGTGTAGTGTGCATGTGATGTGTATAATATGTGTGTGATGTGTGTGTGGTATGGGTAGTATGTGCATAGTATATGTGTGAATGGTATGTGTGTGCTGTGTATGTGTATGTAGCATGTGCAGGATATGTGCAGTGTGTATGATATTTAAAAAATTTTAAAAATTAATTAATTTATTTATTTTGAGACAGAATCTCACTCTGTCACCAGGCGCCAGGCTGGAGTGCAGTGGCACAATCTTAGTTCACTGCAACCTCCACCTCCCAGGTTCAAGCAATTCTCCTGCCTCAGCCTCCCTAGTAGCTGAGACTACAGGTGCGCAGCACCACGCTCAGCAAATTTTTTGTATTTTTTAGTAGAGATGAGGTTTCACCATGTTGGCCTGGATGGTCTTGATCTTTTGACCTCGTGATCCACCCGCCTCAGCTTCCCAAAGTGCTGGGATTACAGGTGTGATAAAATTTTTAAATTTATTTATTTTTGAGATGGAGTCTCATTCTGTCACCCAGGGTAGAGTACAGTGGTGTGATCTTGGTTTACTGCAACCTCCGCCTTCTGGGTTCAAGCGATTTCCCTGCCTCAGCTCCTCAAGTAGCTGAGACTACAGGCACCTACCACTATGCCGGGCTGATTTTTGTATTTTTAGTAGAGATAGGGTTTCACCGTATTGGCCAGGCTGGTCTTGAACTCCTGACCTTGTTATCTGCCCGCCTCAGCCTCTGAAAGTGCTGGGATTACAGGTGTGAGCCACTGCACCCAGCCTGTGATGTGTTTATAATGCATGTATAGTGTGTGTCTGCTGGAGTGTGTGTGTTGGTTTGTGTGGTATGTGTTACATGTGTGGTGTGTGTAGTGTGACATGTTTATAGTGTATATGTATGTAGTGTGGTGTGTGTGTGGTATGTTTATGGTGTGGGCGTGGTGCATGTGATGTATATGTGCAGTATGTATGGTTATATGGCGTGTGTGTGTCTGTGTGTATATATGTGGGTCTATCCTTAGTCTCTGGCCAAGTTTCTTAAAAATAGTCACACAGGGGTAGCCTGCTGCATCCCCATTTCGCTCA